GTGCAGGCGAATCCGAGCGTGGTGCTCCTCGACAGCGGCTGCTCTCATCATCTGATGGGAACGCGGGAGGCCTTCGTCGACATGAAGCCAGGAGGTGAAATCCGTCACGTGCGCGGATTCAACGGGGCGCTTCAGAATGTCGAAGGTCGTGGCACAGTTGCTCTGAAAGGGGAAATCGGAAAGCAGATTCTGATCCCGGGCGTGCAGGCGAATCTGCTGTCTGCTGGTCAGCTGAAAGGAAACGGCGTGAAGCTGCAGAACGAGGGTGACGAGATGCTGCTCGTTTCCGCTGCAGGAGATGTGCTCGGTTGAGCACGCTACACTGGCCGAATTCTCTGCACCGACCTCCGCCCCTGCTCCTCAAAATCGACTACATCTGCGACAGAAGCAGTTGCTCTGCGGACGATCGCATCGGCGACGAAGTCCAAGCCGATTAAGTGGCACGCGAGGCTCGCGCATGTCGGCATTGACACGATTATGAGCTCGGCTAAGCATGAAGTTGCCATCGGTCAGGACATTGAGAAATCAACTGGAGCCGATGTGTCGGCGGCAAGTTGGCGCGTCATACCTTTCCGGAGAGGGGATCGGACGCTGCAACCGCGCTCGAAGTCGTGCACATTGACCTCTGCGGCCCCTTTTGCGTGGCCGCCATGGATGGGAGCCTCTATTTTCTCCTCCTCAAGGACCGCAAGACTCGCTTTGTGTGGGTCCGTCCGATCGCGAAAAAGAGCGACGTGCTCGGCGTGTTCGAGAAGTGGCTGAAGGAGGTGGAGCGGCAGACGTCGAAGTCGGTGAAACGGCTACGCTCTGACCGCGGAGAGGAGTTCCTTGGTAGGGCGTTCACCGACCTGGTCGAGGACAAGGGTATCCTTCACAACCTCACCTGCCCCTACACTCCGCAGCAGAATGGCATGGCAGAGCGGGAGATGCGTACGGTCGTCGAAGCTGTGCGGACGATGCTGCTTCACATGGGGGTGAAGCATCACTGGTGGCACCTCGCCCTTCGCCACGCCGTCTGGGTGCGCAACTGCCTCGAACGGGCTTCACTTCCTCCGAGGACGACGCCGTGTGAGCTGCTGTTTGCACAGAAGCCGGACCTTACGCTGGTGCGCGTGTGGGGCTGCATGGTGCAGTTCATGATCCCGTAGCAGCAGCGCGGCGGGACGTTGGCACCGAAGGCACGCTGGGGAATTCACCTCGGTGTTTCGCCGGAGAGCAAGGGATGGGAGGTGCTAGACCTCACCGCCAACCGCATCGTCACAACCGTGGAGGCAATCTTCTATGAGGCGATGTCTCTGAAGGAGTGGAAGGTGGAGCACGGGCCCGCGTCAGAGCGGACGAAGATTTCTCCGCCGACGGGTCCGTCGCCAGCGGCGATTTCGTTGCTCGAATCCGAGGACGATGGTCCTTCTGAAGATCCTTCTCCCTCCATTCCGCCCTCGTCGAAACCTCCTCCTCCTCTTCCCGCCCCCCCCCCATCGCTCGCCCCCGGCCTGCCTAAGTCGGCATCATCGTCGGCCGCCAGTGACGAGGGGAGCATTGGTGCGTCGCCTTCGGCTCCGCCCATCGGCATCTCTGGCGGTCAACGCGATCTGGTCGGCGAGCAAGTCGGCATCGGAGGGAAGTTTCCGCCTACAGGGAAGCCGTCGAACAGGGGACGCGTTTCAGAGAAGCCGCCGACTCGGGAGCGCGTTTTAGAGGAGCATGTTTTAGAGGAGCCGCTGACAGGGGAGCCGTCGAACGGGGAGCGCGTTTCAGAGGAGCGTGTGTCAGAGGAGCCATCAAACGAGGAGTTCGCTTCAGGGGAGCAGTTCGACGATGGCACATCGAGCGATGTTGTTGAAGTCATCGGCGGCGATGAAGGGGAGCTGTCGACCGGGGATCAGTCCAGCGACAGCGACGTGGTGGAAGTCTCTGCCGACAAGCCCGCAATTCGACGTTCCACCTGCTCTAACTTTGGCAAGCCTCGCGAGAAGCTGAGTTACCATGCTTGCATGCCGCCGACCTCTTACAGCACTCTGCTCGACGATACGCAGTTCGACGTCAACGTTCCAGAGCTCGACCCTGATATGCACGCCGACCCGGAGCATCGCTGGGACATCGCTAACATGACAGTGAAGGAGGCGTTAGCGAGTTGGAAGGGCAAGGCGGTGAAAGCGGCGATGGACGAGGAGATTCGAAGTCTCATCACCAACGGCACATAGGAGCTGGTGGAGCGCCCGCGCGGCGTCAATGTCATGAAGAACCACTGGGTTCTGACGACGAAGTATCACGTCGACGACACGGTCGCCCGCGAAAAAGCCCGCCTGGTGGTGAAGGGCTTTACGCAGGTCTACGGAGCTGATTACGAAGAGACGTATGCACCGGTCGGAAGCTACGTCACGGTGCGAATTTTTCTCAGCATTGTCGCTGTTCTCGACCTGCACCTCATGCAGCTAGACATGAAAATGCTTTTCTGCAGAGCAAGCTCGACCGCGTGCTCTACATGGACCAGCCGGCTTACTACAACGACGGAACCGGACGCGTCTGCAAGCTGCTGAAGAGCCTGTACGGGCTGAAGCAGAGCCCTCTGCTGTGGTACTCTGCGCTCGACTCTGTGCTGACTGGTGCTGGTTGGAGCAAGAGCCAGGTCGACGAGGCTCTCTATTTCAGAGTTGGCGACGACGGAGTGGCGTGCTGGGTGCTCGTCTACGTCGACGACGTGCTCGCCGCTAGCAGCAGCATCGCGATGCTGAAGGAGCTGAAGGAGCTGTTGGAGGCTGCCTTTGAGCTGCGTGTGATCATCCCGGTCAAGAAGTACTTGGGGCTCGAAATCGTGCGCAACCGTCCGGCGCGGAAGCTGTGGCTGCACCAGCAGTCCTACGTCGACAAGCTGCGTAGGCGCTTCATCGACGAGGAGCAGACTGGTCGGCGTCCGAAGACGCCTGTTTCCGTCGACGCTTACGCGGAGCTGACTTTCGACGACGCAGCTTGCCAACGCAGCTGACTGGTACGGATATTCGAGTACACCGTGATGCTATTCAGGCTTACCAACGCATCGGCTACCTTTTCAGATGACCATGAACGAGGCGTTTAGGCCACTTTTAGATAAATGCGTGATAGTTTACCTCGACGACATCTTGGTCTACAGTCGCGAAAAGCAGCTGCACTTGACAGATCTGGACGCAGTGTTTAAAGTTTTAGACAAGCACAGAGTACTGACCAAGGGTTCCAAGTGCAAAAAATTCAAAGACAGGTTAGAGTTTCTATGGCACGTTTTTCGGAGGTTAGAGTTGAGATCGACAAAGAAAAATTAGACACAGTGAAAGCGTGACACCCCTCGACAAATATTACAGAGCTGCGGAGACTTTTGGGGTTCGATAATTATCTGCGCCGGTTCGTTATGGCACGGTTGACTGCCCCGCTAACAGATTTGCTACGGAAGCGGGTCACTTTTACGTGGAGGGAGAAAGAGCATGCTGCCTTCTCTGCCCTGAAAAATGTTCTCTGTTCACCGCCCGTACTACGCATCGCCGACCCACACCACCCATTCGAATTAGTTACAGTTGTAAGAGACATCGCCATTGGAGCCATACTGCAACAGGATTTCGGCAACGGCCTACAGCCCATCGCATACGAGTCATGAAAACTGCATCCTCCCAAGAAAAATTACTCGATCCACGACCGCGAAATGCTTGCGATCGTGCATGCGTTGAAGGTCTGGCGCCGTTACTTCACCGGCGCAGATGTGACAGTACGAACAGACCACAAATCACTCAACCCACGACAGGTTCGCTGGTCCTCGACTCCAACTTCCACTACACGGTCACCTACAAAAAGGGAACATCGAATATCACAGACGCACTGACCGCCCAACAGCCCACTTACACGCCATACTACTCGCCCAAACCAGCCCACTGCTTATAGGACTATTTACCCATGGCCAGACACACCCATTCTTCATCGAATGAAATTCGCAGCAGTTCGCAGCAGCAAAAGGGGTTTATTACGTAAAAGCCAGCACCGATCGCATCTGGATACCAGGCTACACACTACTACAGGAACTACTGCTACATGAGGCACATGACGGAGTTACTTCATGATATTTCAGAGTACACGGCATCCGGCGAGGCCGATGATTCAAAGGAGTCGCTCGTGTTAGTGGCCGGCAACGGGAACAAAACTCCAAGCGACGCGTGGTTCCTCGATACCGGCGCAACGCAACACATGACGCACTCGGCGTCGCTCCTCAACAACATTGGCGCTCCGGGAGACGTCACGAGCATCGTGTTCGGAAACAACGAATCGCTACCGGTGGTCGGAGTTGGGAGTACGCGCCTCATCGTCGATAGCGGTCCGGTGGACGTGACGAACGTGTTTCACGTCCCGGGGGTGAAGGTGAACCTTCTATCCGTCCCGCAACTTGCGAAGAAGGGAGTGATCGCCACGATCGACGGTGCGAAAATGAACCTCTTTTGGAAGGGGGAGCAATTCGCGCAAGGTGTTCTCAACGGAGATATCTACCAACTCAAGACGTACCCGAGAGCGGCTTCATCCAACGTGGCGCAAGGCTCCAAGGCGACTCTCAAGGCGTGGCATAATCGGCTTGCGCACGCCAACTACGACTCGGTCAAGGAGTTGGCCAACAAAGGACTTGCGAAGGGAGTCGACGTGATCGCCGGCGACGACGAGAAGGGCGTGTGCGCGGCGTGTGTCGAAGGAAAAATGGCTCGCAAGCCATTCGGTAGCCGAACGTCACCCCTCGCTAAGGACCCGCTTGCACTTGTTCACATGGACGTGTGTGGACCGATGCGGCATGCATCAAAGGGAGGAGCGCGGTTCCTCTTAGTGATGCTCGACGACGCGACGCGGATGTGTTGGACCCGACTTTTGAAGGCTAAGGGAGATGCGGTCAAGGCGATTCAAGAGTGGGCGCTCGAAGTTTGCGACGATGACAAGAAGCGGATCAAGTGTATTCGCACCGATGGTGGTGGCGAATTCGTGAATGCGGAGCTCGAGAAATGGATGAAGTGCAAGGGCATTAAGCACGACGTCACAACACCCTACACACCCCAACAAAATGGAGCGGCGGAGCGGCTTAATCGCACGTTGGTGGAAGCCGTTCGTTCTCTTCTTCAACACTCCAAGCTTGGGAAAGAGTGGTGGGGCGAGGCGAGTTCGCTAGCGGCGTGGATTCGCAACCGTTTGCCGACGAAGGTGCTCCCGGGAATGACTCCGTTCGAAGCATGGACCGGAACGAAGCCGAACCTATCCCGCCTTCGCACCTTTGGGTGCCTTTGCTACTACCATGTACCGGATCCCCTTCGCCACAAGTTGCAACCGAAGGCTCGTGCGGCGATCTACTTGGGAATTGCGGCGAACGAGCGTGCGTGGCGAGTGTGGGACTTGGGCGACAAGTGCGTCGTCACGTCTCGGGACGTGGTCTTCGATGAAGACAAGTTCCCGTCGAAGGAGAAACCCACTCAACAACTCACCTTCATCCTTCCGCCACGAGAGGAGGTTGAAGAGAGTGAGACTCCACCTCAAGTGGAGAAGGAAGCCGATGGAGGGGGAGCGAACAACGAGGAGAGCATTGATGATGTCGTGGAGGTGTCACCAATCGAGGCGGCAACTACCTCCACACCTTCCTCCCTACCATTGGCCTTGACCCGCGAGCGTCGTGAGGTTCGTCCTCCCTCCAAGTACAACGACTACGCTACGGTAGCCGTTGGGGAGACGGATAAGGAGGGCGCGGCATTTTGCTTCGCAACCAAGGGTGATGATGAACACGCGAAATCTCTCATGGAACCACCCCCTAAAGATTCATCCCGTGCATGCTATGAGCATGTTGGTTTGCACACCTAGTGGGTTGGGTGCAAGGGGGAGTGTTGGAGATTACGTGTGTTGGAAGCAAGGTGATGGTGGGGCGTTTGTATGCCCCCAACCCACCGAATGTGTGACTTGTGCTCACCTTCGAGTGAGTTGCAGGTTTGCGTGGGGTTGAGGATTGACTTCGGAAGACCCATTCGATTCGGTGCCACATGGCAGCACCAGGAACATTCGAGACCCAAGGAGAATTCGGATCGGTGAAATTCGAGAGTCGAATTTCACCCTTTCGATGTTACTCGAACATTCGCGAGTGTAGCGGTTCGAGGTTACTTGTGCGATTCGATCTTGTTTGCATGCTATAAATCTGTTTTCTTTGTATTGCATGCCATCATAGTGAAACTCAGAGTTCTTTGTACAAGGTACATTCGAACACAAATTCCAGAGAGCTTCTTTACTTGCATTCAAGAGCACCACCTAGCACGTGAACGCCTATATCTCGGAGAATACTTAGGCGATCGACGTGTTTGACGGCTCGTTGGAAAGTTAAGACAGAGCTCTATCGTTTAAAACAACTCCCAGTTCCTGCAAAGTAGAGGAGAGTCCTCTACAACACTGGCAGGTCGAGTCGCTGCTCGTCCCGGCTTCCGCTGCCACCTCTTCCTCCCCCTCTTCCTCGCCCTCCTCGCCCTCCCGCCCTTCTTCCCCCACTTCCTCCGCCCCCTCCCCCCCAATTGGTACCTTCGGGTCGTCCCCGCAATCGCCGCTCTCCGAAGTTTGCGGCGGCCCGGGTGATCGCGATTGGTCTGCGGATCTCGCTGGAGATTTTGCCGCGAGCACCAGCAGCGGTTACCGCGTGGCGTCGCGGCTGGTGCTGCATCAGTTCGTGCTGCCGCCCATCGCGCCGCCGAACATTTTCAAGCGCTGCCTGCGCGCCCTGCTCCGCGAGTCGACGCGCGATGTGCTGGCAATATTCCAGGAGGAGGCCGCGCGTATCCGCCGCAACAAGGGGAAGGAAGACGCGGAGGAGAAAGGGAAGGCCGGGAAGAGCTCGAAGCTGGGTGCAATGTTTCTGCACAAGGAGGCGCTTGGGGGGAAGAAAAGTGTGTTCGGCGCGGGGAAGGGGGTTTTCGGGTTGAAGGGACGGGCGCAGCGGAAGGCGGCGTGAGGGACCGGTGGGCTCATCTGACGTTTCTGCATTACAGCACAACAGAGTACAGTACAGTACAGTCTCAGTACGGTGCGGTACGGTTCCTTCCGATGCAGTGCAGTGCAACTTAGTATGTTACTGTAGCCCAGTACGACGGAGTGGGACGCAGCCCACTAAGTGTTTAGGGGTATTGTTGCACTGCGGTGCATGGGACTATTGAGGTACACATGCGAGAAGTTCCGGCAGTGAAGAAGGCGTGGCTCTTATGGATGGTGCTGACAGCAGCAGTTGTCAATGATGGGCGGAGTATGGAGCAGCTGTAGCGAATGCTCTGTTGTCCCCTGGTGTTGTCAGCACCATGCTTTCGAGCAGAGAGTCTGCAACGGTGGGACATATAGGGTTGAACAGGCTCAGCTATATTTTATCCGTTCCTTTTCCATATTTGTGTTTTTTTTCATTATTACATTAGGATTCTCTACTATCCTCCGTGACTCCACCAAAATCGACTTCAGCAGATCAATAGAATGCACAAACTATGGAAGATCTAAATTGTGACTGAACTTCAATCTCCCCCATTCACCAACGCCCATTTGTCGCGTCGCGAGAGAGTTCACCTATGTTTTTCCTGGCAGATGGAGGAGTTCTTTACGACTGGACGGGGTAGTGACGCACACCCTCTTGCGAGATCCTGTCTGGTGTTGGTCTGGCCAAGGAGACTCGAAGGGGGCATCGCGTCACACACACACCAAACCTCCGACCAGACTTGAGCTTGTCGTGTTCGTTTCTAGGTATGGAAGCTCACAACTCCACCACTCCATACCCGCCCAGACCATTCAAAAACACCCTTTTAGCACCTCAAACCACACAGCACAGCCCTATTTCATTTCTCTCCCCAACCGACTTCAGTACAGCAATATGGACCGTTCGATTTTCACCCAGATTGAATCGTCTTCGTCCGCAAAAGGGAACCCACCACGCCACCTCACACCGGGAAATCTCGTGCTGTCCGTCGATTGGCTGTGAGGTCCAGTTCTCTGCTGGGATGGGTACGCAAGTCGCGGTACACGCGTTTCAACTCCGTCCAGGCGCGCACCGCACGGGAGCATCTTGGCTCGCAATCACAACCAGGTGCCCAGTGCCCGGTGCCCCTTCCCATATAGCGCCACGTCACGCGATTTCACTAGACCTGAGTCGAGAGCTCCCAGCCATCCATCTTGCGACGGACCGTCCGTAGCGCCAATCCCAGCTTCTCGTACGATCTTCGCGCATCCAAGCCTACGTCCAAGCGTCGCCGCCGAACTAGGCCAGAACGAACCAGGGTCTACTAGTCGGTCACCAGTCACAAAGTTTTGACATTTTGCTTGTTTGTTCTCAAGAAGATCGCACCATGCGGCACCGCGTAGCGTTTCATCAGATGGCCTCTAGCGTCGCTCGCGACGCGAGCCTTAGGTCCTCCCGGTGCGCGGTGCGTCCAACTAGGGAAACGCCAGCCTCCTTCATTGCAGCCCAAGTTCCCTGTCGCTTGTTCCCGTCTGCGCTGGCCCGTACGTATAAATTCCAGCTTATTGCGCGAACGAGTCAGATCAGTAGAGCCAGCAGACGAAATCGAGTACGTACGAATACGCAGCGCAGTTTCGCCCACTAAACAACTTTCTTCAAGCGGTGCTTTTCACTAACATTGCGGTCATCAAACCCATTCAGAGCTGCTCGTTTATCCGTCTGCCATGTCACCCGCTATCAACGCCACGACAGCCGCCATGAACGCCACGTCAGCCACTATCCAAACCGCGTCGGAGCCCTGGGAGGAGGCGATTAGCTCGCAGCTCGCGGCGTGGTTCGACGACTCGCACTGGACGGACGAGCCGCCTTCCATGAAAGTTACCGTTGGGGACCACGGCCGCGGCCAGCTAGACGGAGTCGCGACGGTCGCTCTTCCCCCAGACACGGTTTTCTCGATCCTCTGCGACCCGCACAACCGCCGCGTGTTCACGTTCATAAAGTCAGTCAAGAACGAGCGCGTCGTGAGTGACTCTAACGGGGTGAGAGTGGTCGAGCTGGACATAGTGTTCACGCTCAAGGTGCCCTTCTTTACAGGCACGTTCGACGCGCACCTGCGCAACGTGCATGTCCGCCCCAACCGCAGGGTCACCTTCTGCCTGTCGCGCCCCGGCTTCATGCGTAAATTCGAAGGCTACTGGCAGGTCGAGCCGCTCCTCGTTCCCGCTTCTGCCACTTACGCCACCTCCCCCTCTTCCGCCGCTTCCGCCGCTTCCGCCGCTTCCGCTGCTTCCGCCGCGCCATCCGCCAGCGATGTGCCGTCATTTCTCTCAGCAGAGGGTGACCCTGAGTCGGAGTCGTTCCCCTCCGTTTCCTTCACTCCTCAATCGCCGCTCTCAGATGTCATGTTTCTGGGCAGCTCATGCGACAGCGATTCCGAGTTCGGTTCGGACCTAAATTCGTCTGGCAGCGATTCGTCCAACAGTGCCAGCAGCAGCCCGGACCGCTTCCCTGCCCGCGTGATACCAGACCCCACCACCACCACAAGCGTCGGCAGCTTGTGCGGCAGCGGTGGTGGGTTAGGCGGAGACGACACGCGCGGGTCAGGCAGGTTAGGCGAGGACAGCGGGTTAGGCGCGGACGGCGGGTTAGGCGGGGACGGCGGGTTAGGCGGAGATGCTGGCATGCGCGTGGCGTCGCGCCTGGTGCTGCATCAGGTCGTGGAGCCATCGCTAGCGCCACCCCCGATGTTCAGACGCTGCGTTCACGTGCTGCTCAAGGCAGCGACACGCGATGTGCTTGTCGTTTTCCAGTACGAAGCCGCACGCATTCGGAACAGCAAGGGGAAATTCCCCTGGAGAAATGGGGCGGAAGCGGGCGCGGAGGAAGGGGAGGAGGAGGGGAAAGGAAAGGCGGGGAAGAGCTCGAAGCTGGGAGCGATGTTTTTGCACAAGGAGGCGCTTGGGGGGAAGAACAGTGTGTTTGGCGTGGGGAAGGGGGGGTTTGGGTTGAAGAAACCGGCGCAGCGGAAGGCGTGAAGCCGCGGGTGAGGCTGACAGTGACACATCGCCTTATCGATACAGTGCAGTATTTATACAGTGCAGCAGAGCAGGGTACTAGGAGATAGACAGCTACATAGTTTCTACGGCCCTCATGCATTGTGCTGACAGCAGCAACAGCAGCAGCAGCAGCAGCAGGAGCAGCAACGGAAGCAGCAGAGCCTGTACAATCCTTAGGGTACATGTGCAGATGGCCATCATGTGACCTCAGGATCACACGAGGCTTGAGAGCAGTGATTTGGATGGGAAGGGAGTGACGCCTGCTGCTGTCAGCACCATGCATTTGAGCCTTTATTGGGTTTAGCTGAAGAATGGAGCAGCTAGAACCCACAAGGGCACCATGCCTTTTGTAATTGCTAGAAAGCGAGTGCTGTTAAAGCCCGAGTCTAGAATGGCGAGGGTTCAAGTTCAAGCCCCCTCTCCTCCTTTCCATCTCAGCCCTTCTCCTCCTTTCCCTCTCAGCCCCTCTTCCCTTTCCCTCTCAGCCCCTCTCCTCCTTTCCCTCTCAGCCCCTCCTTTCCCTCTCAGTCCCTCTCCTCCTTTCCCTCTCAGCTCCTATCCTCCTTTCCCTCTCAGCCCCTCTCCTCCTTTCCCTCTCAGCCCCTCTCCTCCTTTCCCTCTCAGCCCCTCTTCCCTTTCCCTCTCAGCCCCTCTCCTCCTTTCCCTCTCAGCTCCTCTCCACTTTTCCCTCTTCTCACGCTGCTTCCCCGCTTCGTCCCCCACTCCCCTTGTCATTCCTTCCGTTTCCCCCATGCCCATTTCCCTCCATTTACCCCATTGTCTTACTCACTGTTTCATCCGTGCCCGAATCTTCCCTTCCCGTCACCATGCTTACCCTCCCATCCTCCCTCTCTGTTGTCCTTGCTTCTGCTGCATCCCTACCCTCTTCAATTTGACACCCTACACCCTTTCCTCCTCTGTCCTCCCTCTCCTCACTGCTTTTCTCCTCCCATCCCTCTCCCTCTCTCCTTCCGTCTCTCTCCGACGCATATCGCCCATCCGCATGCTTTCCAGGAATCCCCACATTCCGCCCAATGTCCGACGTCCATCCTCACATTCCTCTTCGCCTCCCTCATCCCATCCCTCACCACTTCCCTCCCTCCTCCAATCCCTCTCCATTTCCCTCCCTCCTCTCATGCCGTCAAACACTCATTCCATCACATACTTATTCTGTCAAACATTCGTATGCCCTGTTTCTCCCTCTGTTTCCCCTTGTCCTTCCCTCCGTTTCCCCCTTTTCCCTCCCTCCCTTCCCCCTTGTCCTTCCCTCCGTTTCCCCCTTTTCCCTCCCTCCCTTCCCCTTGTCCTTCCCTCCGTTTCCCCCTTGTCCCTCCCTCCCTCCCCCCTTGTCCTTCCCTCTGCCCTCCACCCCTTCCCTCCCTCCCTCCCTCCCTCCTCCCGTGCCTCCCCGCCCGTCTCCGCCTCACAGCTCCGTCTTCTCTCGATTCCCATCCCTCCTTTCTCCGCCTACGTCCTCCCATCACTCACTCACTCGCTAAATTCATTTGCCGCTCGACACCTCGTCGCCCACGCGCTGCTCCCACTGCGCCCCACGCTGCTTCCCCACATTCCCTCCCACTCCCCTGTCCTTTCGCTTCTCACATGCCCATTTCCCCGGGCCCGCTGCCCTCGCTCGCCTCACTCCTCTCCTCCTCGCCTCTGCTCCACCCTTATTCCCACACCACCACTCCCCTTCCCTCCCTTCAAATGTCCTCCCTTCTCACTCCAAGGTCTTCTCAAGTCGCTTCCCGAATTGCGACTCACAAAATGCATATGCAAGCACCACCACGCCCTTTCGCAGATATGAACCGGAAGAGAGATGCCGGTAATGGGCACAAGATGGATGAGGCAAGGATTTGTAGGAATAATTGACTTGACACTATCTCCTTTTTTTTTTTTAATGTCCCTGGTTTCAAATCGTATTGAAATGTGGAAATCCTCTGTAATTAGCATTACTGATGCTCATTCAACCACACAAATTACGGTGTGTGAAAATTTTCTCCACTTTAGGATTGCTATCACGTCAGTCTTATATTCTTATCGCACCAGCCTTATATGCGGAAATAATTTTGTCAATCACACATTCGACTTTCAGGTGTGATCTCTCGGACCCTCGATGTTCTCGCCTTGTGGCACTTTTGTCCTTTGTGCAGCCTTCAAGTTTCTTGAACTCGAAAGTGTCCAACAATACACAGGGTCGTATTCGCCGCTCGTCACCTTTCGCCATCCTGGTTTAGCGAATTGAACTCTCGCCACCCTTCGTAAACCACTTTCAACTTCAGTATTTATGAAACATTGCCATTCTAGACTCGGGCTTTAATATTGAGAGAATTGCAATTCAATGTACAGAAGCAGCTGGACTCCAATGCTGAGTCTTGTGAAGAACGTGCAGGAATACAATACGGTAGCTTATAGCATTACGGAACACAGGCATGATTCCACCGTAATGACCCACAATCGCAAGGGCACCCAAATACAGTACACTGGAGATCTTGCACTGCACATTCTGGATCACTAATTCCCTTATTTTGTTGTGATACATTAACCGATAAGCAGCATGTGTGCAGTAGTGACGAGGAGCGTGATGCGTGAAGCAGTGACGCTCGCTCCACGAGAGCTCCATCCCTTCCAAGGAAAGCGGACTACATTCATGTAGCTGCTTCATTTATCCCGAGACATAACGCAACAACAGGACTGGTGTGGTGGTGGTGCATGTAGCAGTGACTACATTGCATCCAAAAGTGTGAGGTGAGGCGGAATGCTTTCCCCCTTGACTGCATGAAAGAGCAGGCTTCATTTCCGGTCCGGAGGCAGTAAGTATACAACGCGGAGCGTGGTGCAGGCAGCAGCAACTGCAGCTAAGAGTGTGGGCAGGAGTTTGCCCGTCGAGCAGGCTCATTTCCGAAGCCAGTAGATGATGAGAAACGTGGTGCAGGCAGCAATGACTGCCCCAAGGATGAGAGTGTCTCGCGACTTCTTTCGCCGAATGGCCCCTGCAGGTATGGAGTGGGGAGCGGTGGGGGGGGGAGGGGGGGGGGGGGGGGGGGGGGGGGCGGGGGGGGGGGGGGGAGGGAGGAAGGGGAGGAATGAAGATGGCACAGCCACGGGACTGCCCCGAGGATGAGGGTATCGCGCGACTTCTTTCGCCGAATGGCCCCTACAGGTATGGGCGGGGGGTGACGTGTGGATTGGGGGCGGGCGGATGGGAGAGAGGGAGGCGGCCGGAGAGAAGGGAGAGGAGAACGGGAAGGAATGAGGGATTTAAGTGCCACAGGACTTGAATGCCCGGGAAATAAGAGCATCGCGCGACTCCTTTTGCCGAATGGCCCCTGCAGGTATGGGCGGAAAGCGGGGGGGGGAAGGGAGAGAGAGGGGGGAGGAGGGAGGAGAGAGGAGGGAGGACGGAGGAGGGAGGATGGAGGAGAGAGGAGGGAGGATGGAGGAGAGATGAGGGAGGAGGGAGGAGAGAGGAGGGAGGAGGGTAAAAAAAGGGGGAGTGGGAAGGAAAGAGGATGACCGTGGCAGAGGAATAGGTGATTTTCATGCAGCGGGGCGGGAATACGAGTGTTGCGAGACTTCTTTTGGTGAATGTACACATGCACACACATGCGCACACACATGCGCACACACATGCGCACACACATGCGCACACACATGCGCACACACATGCGCACACACATGCGCACACACATGCGCACACACGTGCGCGCACACATGCGCACACACGTGCGCGCACACATGCGCACACACATGCGCACACACGTGCGCGCACACACATAAATGACATACCCAGCACGCTTCTAGGAAAAGGAAAGCGACCGGAGAGCAGCTTGATGCGGCCCTGAATGCTCGCAAGCACCTCACGCGCACCAATACAAAGTACCCAGCACCACTAAGAGCGCGCACTGATACAACATACCCAGCACGCTTCTGAGCAGAGGGAAGCGATCTGATAGCAGCTTGATGCGGCCCTGAATGCTCGCGAAAAGCGATCGCTGCGACACCAGAGCCGCCTTGGTGCTCGCTGCGTGTGAGATGAGCTCGTCCATCTGAAGGGTGCGGTGGGGTGAGGTGGGGTGCGGTGGGGTGCAGTGGGGTGGGGTGCGGTGGGGTGGAAGTGTATAACATCTTAGCTGGCAAGCGCCAGAGCTGCCTTGGTGCTCGCTACGTGTGAGATGAGCTCGTCCATCTGAGGGGTGGAGTGCGGCGCGGTGGGGTGGGGTGGGGGCAGGAATGGGGAGAGGAACGGGGATTGAGGCACGGGAATCAGGGCATCCATTTCTGCTGGGTGAGGGGCAGGAATCGGGGGCACAGGAATGGGGGGCACAGGAATGGGGGGCACAGAAATAGGGGGCACAGGAATGGGGAGCACAGGAATGTGGGGCACAGGAATGTGGGGCACAGGAATGGGGGGCACTTTTATGGGGCCAGTTATGGGGACATGAACTGGGGCGGAAACGCAGGCGGGAATTAGGACATCTCGGGAAGTTGAGATGAGAAGGAGGTGAGGCGTCTTGAATGGTTGTGGGGCAGGAGCAAGGAAAGGACGCAGCAGGAGAGTGATGGGACGCAGCAGGAGAGTGATGGGACGCAGCAGGAGAGTGATGGGACACAGCAGGAGAGTGATGGGACACAGCAGGAGAGTGATGGGACGCAGCAGGAGAGTGATGGGACGCAGCAGGAGAGTGATGGGACACAGCAGGAGAGTGATGGGACACAGCAGGAGAGTGATGGGACACAGCAGGAGAGTGATGGGACACAGCAGGAGAGTGATGGGACGCAGCAAGAGAGTGATGGGACACAGCAGGAGAGTGATGGGACACAGCAGGAGAGTGATGGGACACAGCAGGAGAGTGATGGGACGCAGCAGGAGAGTGATGGGACACAGCAGGAGAGTGATGGGACGCAGCAGGAGAGTGATGGGACGCAGCAGGAGAGTGAGGGGACGCAGCAGGAGAGTGAGGGGACGCAGCAGGAGAGTGAGGGGACGCAGCAGGAGAGTGATGGGACACAGCAGGAGAGTGATGGGACGCAGCAGGAGAGTGATGGGACGCAGCAGGAAAGTGATGGGACGCAGCAGGAGAGTGATGTGACACAGCAGGAGAGTGATGGGACGCAGCAGGAGAGTGATGGGACACAGCAGGAGAGTGATGGGACGCAGCAGGAGAGTGATGGGACGCAGCAGGAGAGTGAGGGGACGCAGCAGGAGAGTGATGGGACACAGCAGGAGAGTGATGGGACACAGCAGGAGAGTGATGGGACGCAGCAGGAGAGTGATGGGACGCAGCAGGAGAGTGATGGGACGCAGCAGGAGAGTGATGGGACGCAGCAGGAGAGTGATGGGACGCAGCAGGAGAGTGAGGGGACGCAGCAGGAGAGTGATGGGACGCAGCAGGAGAGTGATGGGACACAGCAGGAGAGTGATGGGACACAGCAGGAGAGTGATGGGACACAGCAGGAGAGTGATGGGACGCAGCAGGAGAGTGATGGGACGCAGCAGGAGAGTGAGGGGACGCAGCAGGAGAGTGATGGGACGCAGCAGGAGAGTGATGGGACACAGAAGGAGAGTGATGGGACACAGCAGGAGAGTGATGGGACACAGCAGGAGAGTGATGGGACACAGCAGGAGAGTGATGGGACGCAGCAGGAGAGTGATGGGACACAGCAGGAGAGTGATGGGACACAGCAGGAGAGTGATGGGACACAGCAGGACAGTGATGGGACGCAGCAGGAGAGTGATGGGACGCAGCAGGAGAGTGAGGGGACGCAGCAGGAGAGTGAGGGGACGCAGCAGGAGAGTGAGGGGACGCAGCAGGAGAGTGATGGGACGCAGCAGGAGAGTGATGGGACACAGCAGGAGAGTGATGGGACGCAGCAGGAGAGTGATGGGACGCAGCAGGAGAGTGATGGGACGCAGCAGGAGAGTGATGGGACGCAGCAGGAGAGTGAGGGGACGCAGCAGGAGAGTGATGGGACGCAGCAGGAGAGTGATGGGACACAGCAGGAGAGTGATGGGACACAGCAGGAGAGTGATGGGACACAGCAGGAGAGTGATGGGACACAGCAGGAGAGTGATGGGACGCAGCAGGAGAGTGATGGGACGCAGCAGGAGAGTGAGGGGACGCAGCAGGAGAGTGATGGGACGCAGCAGGAGAGTGATGGGACACAGCAGGAGAGTGATGGGACACAGCAGGAGAGTGATGGGACACAGCAGGAGAGTGATGGGACACAGCAGGAGAGTGATGGGACGCAGCAGGAGAGTGATGGGACGCAGCAGGAGAGTGAGGGGACGCAGCAGGAGAGTGATGGGACGCAGCAGGAGAGTGATGGGACACAGCAGGAGAGTGATGGGACACAGCAGGAGAGTGATGGGACACAGCAGGAGAGTGATGGGACACAGCAGGAGAGTGATGGGACGCAGCAGGAGAGTGATGGGACACAGCAGGAGAGTGATGGGACACAGCAGGAGAGTGATGGGACACAGCAGGAGAGTGATGGGACGCAGCAGGAGAGTGATGGGACGCAGCAGGAGAGTGATGGGACGCAGCAGGAGAGTGAGGGGACGCAGCAGGAGAGTGAGGGGACGCAGCAGGAGAGTGAGGGGACGCAGCAGGAGAGTGATGGGACACAGCAGGAGAGTGATGGGACGCAGCAGGAGAGTGATGGGACGCAGCAGGAGAGTGATGGGACGCAGCAGGAGAGTGAGGGGACGCAGCAGGAGAGTGATGGGACGCAGCAGGAGAGTGATGGGACACAGCAGGAGAGTGATGGGACACAGCAGGAGAGTGATGGGACACAGCAGGAGAGTGATGGGACACAGCAGGAGAGTGATGGGACGCAGCAGGAGAGTGATGGGACGCAGCAGGAGAGTGATGGGACGCAGCAGGAGAGTGAGGGGACGCAGCAGGAGAGTGATGGGACGCAGCAGGAGAGTGATGGGACACAGCAGGAGAGTGATGGGACACAGCAGGAGAGTGATGGGACACAGCAGGAGAGTGATGGGACACAGCAGGAGAGTGATGGGACGCAGCAGGAGAGTGATGGGACACAGCAGGAGAGTGATGGGACGCAGCAGGAGAGTGATGGGACACAGCAGGAGAGTGATGGGACGCAGCAGGAGAGTGATGGGACACAGCAGGAGAGTGATGGGACACAGCAGGAGAGTGATGGGACACAGCAGGAGAGTGATGGGACGCAGCAAGAGAGTGATGGGACACAGCAGGAGAGTGATGGGACACAGCAGGAGAGTGATGGGACACAGCAGGAGAGTGATGGGACGCAGCAGGAGAGTGATGGGACGCAGCAGGAGAGTGATGGGACGCAGCAGGAGAGTGATGGGACGCCAAAAGAGAACGCCGTGGGAGTGCAAGCTGTGGTGTTGTGATTGTTATTTCACCCGAGCAATGCTATGGATGCTTGAGCAATGCTATGACTGCTTGAGCAATGCTATGAGTGCTTGCGCAATGCTATGACTGCTTGCGCAATGCTATGACTGCTTGAGCAATGCTATGACTGCTTGAGCAATGCTATGACTGCTTGCGCAATGCTATGACTGCTTGCGCAATGTTTCACGTGCATGCGCAATGCTATGACTGCTTGCGCAATGCTATGACTGCTTGCGCAATGCTATGACTGCTTGCGCAATGCTACGACTGCTTGAGCAATGCTATGACTGCTTGCGCAATGCTATGACTGCTTGGGCAATGTTTCACCTGCTTGCGCAGTGTTTCACCTGCTTGCGCAATGTTTCACCTGAGAGTTTGGTATGTAACCTCTGCTTGGTGGCACCAGTCGAAATTCGTCAGAGCTAGTACTGAGTGATACTGTTATCAGTTGGGTTACCTGAGGAGGGCTGCTGCAATCACCTGAGCTATGTTGCCGTGGATTGCCCGCCTCTCGAGCAATTGACTTTGGCTGGAACCTGACGGCTGCTCGTATGGAGGTGAAATGAGAGCAAGGTAAAAGTTGGAAGAGGAGAAAAGTAAGAGAGCAATTGCAGATCCAGCCTTGTGGCAAGCAGCGCACGCAAGCAGCGCACGCAAGCAGCGCACGCAAGCAGCGCACGCAAGCAGCGCACGCAAACAGCACACGCAAGCAGCACACGCAAGCAGCACACGCAAGCAGCACACGCAAGCAGCGCACGCAAGCAGCGCACGCGAGCAGCACACGCAAGCAGCACACGCAAGCAGCACACGGGATTCAAAGCAAAATGTGAAAGCGTGAGAATATGAGAGAGGCACGGCAGAGCAGAATGCATGTACGGCACGGCAGAGCAGAATGCATGTACGGCACGGCAGAGCAGAATGCATGTATGGCACGGCAGAGCAGAATGCATGTACGGCACGGCAGAGCAGAATGCATGTACGGCACGGCAGAGCAGAATGCATGTACGGCACGGCAGAGCAGAATGCATGTACGGCACGGCAGAGCAGAATGCATGTACGGCACGGCAGAGCAGAACGCATGTACGGCACGGCAGAGCAGAATGCATGTACGGCACGGCAGAGCAGAATGCATGTACGGCACGGCAGAGCAGAATGCATGTACGGCACGGCAGAGCAGAATGCATGTACGGCACGGCAGAGCAGAATGCATGTACGGCACGGCAGAGCAGAATGCATGTACGGCACGGCAGAGCAGAATGCATGTACGGCACGGCAGAGCAGAACGCATGTACGGCACGGCAGAGCAGAACGCATGTACGGCACGGCAGAGCAGAATGCATGTACGGCACGGCAGAGCAGAACGCATGTACGGCACGGCAGAGCAGAATGCATGTACGGCACGGCAGAGCAGAATGCATGTACGGCACGGCAGAGCAGAATGCATGTACAGCACGGCAGAGCAGAATGCATGTACGGCACGGCAGAGCAGAATGCATGTACGGCACGGCAGAGCAGAATGCATGTACGGCACGGCAGAGCAGAATGCATGTACGGCACGGCAGAGCAGAACGCATGTACGGCACGGCAGAGCAGAATGCATGTACGGCACGGCAGAGCAGAATGCATGTACGGCACGGCAGAGCAGAATGCATGTACGGCACGGCAGAGCAGAATGCATGTACGGCACGGCAGAGCAGAACGCATGTACGGCACGGCAGAGCAGAACGCATGTACGGCACGGCAGAGCAGAACGCATGTACGGCACGGCAGAGCAGAACGCATGTACGGCACGGCAGAGCAGAACGCATGTACGGCACGGCAGAGCAGAATGCATGTACGGCACGGCAGAGCAGAATGCATGTACGGCACGGCAGAGCAGAACGCATGTACGGCACGGCAGAGCAGAACGCATGTACGGCACGGCAGAGCAGAATGCATGTACGGCACGGCAGAGCAGAATGCATGTACGGCACGGCAGAGCAGAATGCATGTACGGCACGGCAGAGCAGAATGCATGTACGGCACGGCAGAGCAGAATGCATGTACGGCACAGCAGAGCAGAACGCATGTACGGCATGGCAGAGCAGAATGCATGTACGGCACGGCAGAGCAGAATGCATGTACGGCACGGCAGAGCAGAATGCATGTACGGCACGGCAGAGCAGAATGCATGTACGGCACGGCAGAGCAGAATGCATGTACGGCACGGCAGAGCAGAATGCATGTACGGCACGGCAGAGCAGAACGCATGTACGGCACGGCAGAGCAGAACGCATGTACGGCACGGCAGAGCAGAATGCATGTACGGCACGGCAGAGCAGAACGCATGTACGGCACGGCAGAGCAGAATGCATGTACGGCACGGCAGAGCAGAAAGCATGTACGGCACGGCAGAGCAGAATGCATGTACAGCACGGCAGAGCAGAATGCATGTACGGCACGGCAGAGCAGAACGCATGTACGGCACGGCAGAGCAGAATGCATGTACGGCACGGCAGAGCAGAATGCATGTACGGCACGGCAGAGCAGAATGCATGTACGGCACGGCAGAGCAGAATGCATGTACGGCACGGCAGAGCAGAATGCATGTACGGCACAGCAGAGCAGAACGCATGTACGGCATGGCAGAGCAGAATGCATGTACGGCACGGCAGAGCAGAATGCATGTACGGCACGGCAGAGCAGAATGCATGTACGGCACGGCAGAGCAGAATGCATGTACGGCACGGCAGAGCAGAATGCATGTACGGCACGGCAGAGCAGAATGCATGTACGGCACAGCAGAGCAGAACGCATGTACGGCACGGCAGAGCAGAACGCATGTACGGCACGGCAGAGCAGAATGCATGTACGGCACGGCAGAGCAGAACGCATGTACGGCACGGCAGAGCAGAATGCATGTACGGCACGGCAGAGCAGAAAGCATGTACGGCACGGCAGAGCAGAATGCATGTACAGCACGGCAGAGCAGAATGCATGTACGGCACGGCAGAGCAGAATGCATGTACGGCACGGCAGAGCAGAATGCATGTACGGCACGGCAGAGCAGAATGCATGTACGGCACGGCAGAGCAGAACGCATGTACGGCACGGCAGAGCAGAACGCATGTACGGCACGGCAGAGCAGAATGCATGTACGGCACGGCAGAGCAGAACGCATGTACGGCACGGCAGAGCAGAATGCATGTACGGCACGGCAGAGCAGAATGCATGTACAGCACGGCAGAGCAGAATGCATGTACGGCACGGCAGAGCAGAATGCATGTACGGCACGGCAGAGCAGAATGCATGTACGGCAAGGCAGAGCAGAACGCATGTACGGCACGGCAGAGCAGAATGCATGTACGGCACGGCAGAGCAGAATGCATGTACGGCACGGCAGAGCAGAATGCATGTACGGCACGGCAGAGGCAAGCAGCACACCAAAAAGAGGTTGGTGGTGGTGGTGGTGGGGGATGGGCGATCCGGACTTGGCTCAGTGAGCTGCGTGCGTGCAGTAGGCTTAAGCCAAGGAAAAAACAGGCGCGGAGGTTGGTGGTGGTGGAGGATGGGTGGGCGCGGAGAGGACGTGAGTAAGGCACAGCAGTGTGCAAAATACATCTTTGTAATATATCTTTGTGATATAGTTAAATGATTCATTCATTCATTCGTTTCGTATATTATCGTGCATGGCACAGCACCGGCAAGCAGCGCACCACAAGGAGATCCGCAGTAGCGGTGGTGGATGCGCGTGAGGAGGAGGAGAGCAGCTCCGCGTGCTGCCTCATCATTGCCAGGTTGCCCCTCGTGCGCCGAAACTCCTGCAAAGGAAGTCATGTTTCAGGGAGAGGGGTGGGGGGAGAGGGGGGAAGGGAGGTGGAAGGGGCGGGGGCTGTAACAGGAAGGGAGGAGGAGAGCAGCTCCGCATGCTGCCTGATCAATGCCAGGTTGCCCCTCGTGTGCCGAAACTCAAGTGGAGTTTGGGAAGGGGTAGGGAGGGTGTGAGACACGCATGACTGAGTGTAGGGGGGACGGAGCTGCCTCATCATGGCCAGGTTGCCCCTCGTGCGCTGAAACTCCTGCAAAGGAAGTCATGTTTCAGGGAGTGGGGGGGAGAGAGGAAAGGTTGGAAGGGGCGCGAAGAGGAGAGCAGCTCCGCGTGCTGCCTCATCATTGCCTGACTGCCGCTCGTGCGCCGAAACTCCTGCCAGGGACGGCTGAAGATGGAAAACAATAGGGGGAAAGAGGGGTGAGGTGGAGAGGAGAGGAGCGGCGGGTGGAGGTGGTGGGATGTAACAGGCAGGGACGAGGAGAGTAGATCTGCCACCAGTTCATGCCATGTGTCCCTTGACATGCCGACCCATGTGTCCCTTGACATGCCGACCAAAGTGGGGGTTTCCACAACCACCAGGTATCCCCCGTTTGCCCAGCAGGTGTCACATATCAGCTTATAGCGCACTCGATCCCTCATCCACACACATACCTGAGTGAACTCCTGCGGAATATCCCGATGCTGAGCCACCTTCAAGGACAGCAGCAGCACCAGCAGCAGCACCAGCAGCAGCAGCAGCACCAGCACCAGCACCAGCACCAGCACCAGCAGCAGCACCAGCACCAGCACCAGCACCAGCACCAGCAGCAGTACCAGCACCAGCAGCAGCACCAGCACCAGCAGCAGCACCAGCAGCACCACCAGCAGCACCACCAGCAGCACCACCAGCACCACCAGCACCGGCAGTACCACCACTGCCACTACCACTACTAGCACCACCAGGGATCCCCCACGCACCTGCGTGAACTCCTGTAAGATGTCGCGATGCCGAGCCACCTTCTGAGACAGCGATGCCGTGGCAGCCGTGCCCTCGCCACCCACACCACCACCGGCAGCAGAGCAGCAGCGCGCCATGCGGTTGTTGGTGTCTGCAAGCCGCTGCAGCTGCGCCTCTATTGCTTTTTCCACCGCCACCACCGACCCCTCGCTGCCCCCCTCGCCCCCCTCGCCGTAACCTGTGATTTGAGGGGGAAGGTCGGGGGAGAGGGAAGGCGGGAGGGGCCAGAGCGGCGGTGAGAGGAAGGGAGGCAGGCACAATGCGAGGCAACAGCAGCAGAGCAGAGCAGCAGCGCGCCATGCGGTTGTTGGTGTCGGCCTGGCGCTGCAGCTGCGCCTCTACTGCCTTCTCCACCGCCACCACCGACCCCTCGCTGCCCCCCTCGCCCCCCTCGCCCCCCCCGCCGTATCCTGTGGGGAAAGGAAATACGCGGGCAGGGAGGCGAAGCGGGACGAGAAACGAGGGAGGGATGGGAGAGGCGGAATGAGACGATGGAAAGGGGCGAGAGGGAAGGGAACGGAAAGGACAGACTTTATTCCTTCCTCGCCGTGTGCTCCTTTGGTAACCGAAGAACCCCTTAACAATGCGCGACGACTGCGTGCATTGCCGACCGTTGAACCACCCACCGTTGCGCGACCAGCGTGCTGCACAGCTAGGCGTATGGCAACAGATGTCGCACAGCTGGTCGCAGAGCGTCGCATGACTCACCGCTATGCGACAGCATGCTGCAGAGCTTGGCGTACGACGACAGCTTCACGTCCAGGTCGCCCTCCAGCTTCCGCGCCTCGCGCCGAAGCTCCTCCCACGGCGCGCCCGAATCGTCTGCGGCCATGATCCCTCGTTGTTTGCCAACAGCGAGTTCGACAGGCTCGACGCTAAAGAGGCTCGACGGGCTCGACGTTTGGGTTCCACGTTCGGGTTCGACGTTCTGGTTCGATCGCAACAAGCCGGTCAGCAGGTCATGCTTCCTCGTCCAGTAAGTGCGAGTGCAAGTGCAGCTTACAGCATTTGTATTCCGCAGTTATATGCTGTGTAAATTTTAGAAATGCTAAACTGGTTATTCGTACTGTCTTACAGAAGCTATCGCAGGTGGTTCTATGACGAGTGATTCTTAAGTGCTTCTTGGAGAATAGGAATCACTTCCTGCACTGCTAAAGGCATCTGGAGCGCGGAATAAGGTAAAATATACTCAGAAAACTGGAAGACGCTTCAAAAAATATATATCATCCATCTGATGTAAAAGCCACCTAACCGAGGACGCGTGGTTCTGCAGTACGAACCTAATTCATTTACTGTACTAACCAGGGCGACAGGATAGCCAGCCTGCAGTAAAAACCTAATTCACCATCCAGCCAGGGCGACAGGATAGTCAGCCTGCAAATAGCGATCTTTACTATCGCACGCCGCGGTTTCAGAATTTTGACCCGAATTCGTCGCGGTGGTATCAGCAGCAGGACGCACAACTAAGGATGTAGTTTGCCTCTCAATCAACCCCTCGACATTGCCGATTACTACTCTCTGCAATGGGACCTTCGTGTCTCACTTGGAAGACTCTGGTCTGGAATCTGACCGTTGATTGCTATGGGACCATCTAAGAGGACGAGATGGTTACCACAGATTTGTAAGACGGTACAGTGAGATGCTATGCATCTCAAAACGGCGGAGTAGGGCTTCAGTAAGAAAAGGATTCTGCGTGTCCTGTATGATTGGTAAGAGGGTTGATTTGGATGAGGTTCAACAGGACCATAGAAGCAGGTTTGAGGTCTATGCGACTGTCTTGGTAACCCTACAATCTGCCATCGCGACGTCCGCACTGGTCCGATCAATGCTCTCTCGAACATGTCAGTAACTCGTTTGGAGCCTAATAACTCAGTACCTTTCGACTTCAATTTCGCGAACACCGTCAAGCGCAAATTCACGGGAACCGAAGTTCAGGCGAAGCGTTTACACATGCGAAAGTAGCTTCGCTATTCCGTGATTCGCAGAGAAGCTGTGTGTACCGTTCGATATTCAATACAAACCACACGAAACTCCATCCCCAGAAAACAATTTCGAGTGCCAGATTTTCAGAGTGACGTTGTAAAAGCCCGCAATGCAACACGATAGGGGGGTTTAGATAAAAGCTCAGACCGCCCTTTCTTACAGGAGTCTACTTTTGAGGCGCCTAAAAAAAAGCTCAGAACCCCCTTCTTTACAGGGCAGAGGAAGTCAAGGTGGCATTGGCGCTAGGGCGCGCAGCGAGATGAGGAGCGCGGGGTCCGCAGGCAAGGGCGGTCGCGCCAAGTCCAACTGGCCCGACACCCCCAACGCGTTTCAAACTCTAGCGCCTCGGAAACGCGACGAGGCACGTGTCGTTCTTACCGCTATCGCCGCCACTGCTGCTCCTGCCGTCGCCGCCCCTGCTCGCTGCTTCCCCGGCTATTCTCGCCAACCTGTCTGCACTCCGCTTATTCCGCTCCCCCAACCCAACCCCGCTCTCCCGCACGCGCCTCTTTCCCCCTCGGCATTGCCATGGACTTCATTCCTCGCCCCTGTGTCCCCAACTTTCCGCCTTCCCCCTCTCGCCCCTCCCCTTGTTCCCGCTCTCTCCCCATTCCTCCCCGCCCAGCCCTCCCCCTTCTCCCCCTGGCTCGCGCGCGCGCTGCTGTTCCTCCCCGGCCTCGCCACAGGCTTCATTCTCGGCCGCCTGCTGGGGGGAAGCGGGGGAAGCGGAAAGGCCGCAGGGGGGAAGAAGGGGGAGCTGACGGCAGGAGGCGGGGGGAGCAGTAGCGGGCGGAAGGGGGGCGGAGGCAGCGCGGGGGGGAGGTCAGCGCCAGCGTTTGGGGGGAAGGCGGAGACGGAGGGGGCGGGGGGGCTGGTGGTGGGGCGGGGGAGTGAGCTGAAAATGGTGCTGGTGGTGCGGCAGGATCTCAAGATGAGTTCTGGGAAGATCGCCGCCCAGTGTGCCCGTGAGTGCTGCCCAGTGCGCCCGTGAGTGCCGCCCAGTGTGCCCGTGAGTGAATTTTAAGTCGACTCAAAAATGGTGGTGGGCCGGGGGAGTGAGCTGAAAGTGGTGCTGGTGGTGCTGGTGGTGCGGCAAGATTCTCAAATGCGGGTGGGGAAGATCGCCGCCCAATGTGCCCGTGAGTGGAGGGGGAGGGGGGGGGGGGGGGGGGGCACGGGGTGGTGGTGGGGCGGGGGAGTGAGTTAGAGATGGTGCTGGTGATTCAACAGGACCTCAAGATGAGTTCTGGGAAGATCGCCGCCCAGTGTGCCAGTGAGTGCCGCCCAGTTTTCAGTCGGATGAACCTTCATTGATCTAGGCAGTTTCCAGTCTGACTCAAAACCCCTTGAGCCCTCAACCCTCAAACCCACAACCCTTCCACTCATGACCCCTCCTTCTCCTCTCCGTCCTGTCATCCCCTCCTCACATCCCCCCCTCACATCCCCTCCTCACATCCCCCCTCACCTACTTCCTACCAGACGCAGCAGTGGGTATTCTCACCGACCTCCAAACAAGGTGCGCCTCTCTTCTCTCCTATCACTCACCCCCCTTCACACTCTAGTCGCACTCCTCCCCTTCCACACTCAACATGCTGCTTGTAGCAACAACGATACGTCCCTCCCTCACTCCTCCAAACTCCCTTTCCTTCCTTTTCTTCTTCCACCCCTCCTTCCTCTTCACTCTTCCCAACACCTTTCCTCTTCCCTTGTGTACCCCTACCTCTTCCCCCTTACCGTTTTCTGCTCAAAATCTTCCCTCGCCCTTAGATTGCACTCCCTCCCTCTCTGCTCTCACTCCTCTCCCTTCCCCTCTTAATCTCAGCCGCCTATTCTGAATCATCTTTCTGCTGCCTGTCTGCCTGCCTGCCTGCGTTCCTGTATAGGTTCCCGTCCTCGTACCTCTGAGTGTGCAGCAATAAGGCGTTGCTGCGGCACTACGAGGCGTGTGGGCAGCCCAAGATAGTGGTCTCCTGCAGCAACCTCGTCTCTCCCTTTCCCCCTCAAACCTAATCCCTGCCTGCCTGCCTATCTTCCTGCCTACTTGTGAGTGTGCAGCAATAAGGCATTACTGCGGCATTACGAGGCGTGTGGGCAGCCCAAGATAGTGGTCTCCTGCAGCAACCTCAAGGAGATGTGAGACCTCTCAAGCAAGCCTTGAAAAGTTGGAGCAAGTTTTGAAAAGTTTTCTCCTTTCTTTCCTTTGTTATGTGTTTTCTCCTTTCTTTCCCGTTGATGCTGCTATGCGCTCATGCATGCACCATGCCACAATAATCTCACCATGCACTACCATGCACCACTGTGCACCACTGTACTTCACCGTACACCACTCCACAATACACCACCATACCGCACTGTACGCCACTGTGCAGGAACGAGCTGAGAGGGAAGGCACAGCAGCACCGGTTGCCAGTCTTTACTGTCTGCGATGCTGGCAGGACTCAGGTGGGCCTCAGGTGTTCCTTCAGGTGATACCGGCATGACTCAAGTGGGCGTCGAGTGACGCTTCAGTTGATGCTTCAGGTGATGATTCAGGTCATGCTTCAAGTCTGTCTGTATTTTTTTTCCTTCTGTTTCCCATGCTCCTCTCCCATGCTCCCCTCCCATACCCCACCCCAATGCTTTCCTTCCTATGCCCCTGCTCCAAAACCCCCACCGTCAACAGGTGGCAGCAGGGTCCAAGGCAGTGCTTGCAGTGGGTCCAAACCAAAACCCCCTCTTTTTGAGGCGTCTCAAAAGCCATCCTGCTCCACCTGCCTCTCCCCACTCACCCCACTCCCTCCCCCCCCCCCCCCCCCACCGTCAACAGGTGGCAGCAGGGTCCAAGACAGTGCTTGCAGTGGGACCAAAACCCCCTCTTTTTGAGGCGTCTCAAAAGCCATCCCCCATGCTCCACCTACCCTCCCCACTCCCCCCCCCCCCAACCCTCAACAGGTGGCAGCAGGGTCCAAGACAGTGCTAGCAGTGGGACCAGGTCCGTGCTCCCTCGCCTCGTTTCACTTATCGCTTCCTCCCACCCATACTCTTGTTCTTCTCTAGCCCCTCCTCCCTCACCACGCCTCCTCCCTTACCACGCCTCCTCCCTTACCACGCCCCCAATCTTCAACCCACTTCCAATCCTCCCTCCGACTTCCCCCCTTCACTTGCGCTCCCTCCTTACCAAAATTCTCCCTTCACTGAACCTTTCACGGCCCTGTTGCCTGTTTCATCCTCTCCCTTGTCCCTCACATTGCCCCTCCTCACCCACACCCACACCCAACCCCACCCGCACCTCTCCCCTTGGCAACGGCTGATGCAGGCCCGAAAGCACTGGTTGATTCAGTTACCGGCAATCAACGCTTGCTGTAAGCAGTGTATTGAAATGCAGTACAGTGTAGTGCAGTACAGTTCAGTCTGCAACCAAGTGTAGTTTCTCTAAAAGTGTAACCATAGCATGCTATTTGCCCTCTTGACAAAGGTCGGATCATACAGGGAACATTCGTTTACACATACTATAATACAAGGGAAACAAAGCAAGCTACATCACAAAATGCGCCATGTGGTACAGTACAGGTGTGCTGTTGGTGTGCCTGCAAGGGTACTGAAAACTGCTTAACACTGCAGGGATTGAGGCGGCTCAGAAGTATGAACAAAGGTGCAATGGTGTCAACTGTGTACATGTGATGTGATGTGATGTGATGTGATGTGATGTGATGTGATGTGATGTGATGTGATGTGATGTGATGTGATGTGATGTGATGTGATGTGATGTGATGTGATGCGATGCGATGCAATGCGATGCAATGCGATGGGATCATTCCCTGCGACCAGAATGTGTGCTGCCGAGGGTGCAATGCTGCACCCAATGTGACCAATCTGAGTCCTTGGGCACTTAGCTAAGTGCTGGAGCTGGAAAGAGCAACACCTGCAAGGAATGGCTGGTTGGAATCCTTGTTGGGCGACAGAATGGCCTGTAATTTCCGACAATAGTTTTCAAGAAGAAAGGGGAACGGGGGAATTGGGGGGAAAGGGGGAGGTGGGAAGAAAGGGGAGAGTGGGGGTAGTATTATGAAATACATTGTTCACTGTTGAACACTTACTGCAGAGCACTCAGCAACACTTACTGCAGTGCATTTAGTGACACAAGGCTCATATAAACACTCAGGGTATTAGCACCATGTGCTGGCACAGCAGTCTCTCTATCCACACATCAGCTCTTCCTAACGCTGCTGCTGCTGCTGCATGTCCCTCATACGCTCACACACACTCACCGCATTAGCGCCATTCGCCTCTGCAGCAGCTTCTGAATCCACATCCCCACGCATCTGCTCTTGCTGCTGCTGCATGTCCCTGTTCTGCTGCCGGCGCTGCTGCATGAGGCGGCAGCAGGTGAAGGAGACGGCTACGAGGAGAATGGTGAGGGCGATGAGCAGGCAGACGGTGAAGAAGGATGAACCCCACGTGGAGTCAGAGGGAGAGGGCTGCTGCTGGGTGCCTGTATGGGAAGGGGAGGGGTGCAGGAAAGGAAGTGGATGAGTGAAAGGAGATGGCTAGGAGGAGAATGGTGAGAGCGATGAGCAGACAGACGGTGAAGAAGGATGAACCCCGCGTGACATCTGAAAAAATGGCTGCTGGGTGGCTGTTTAGGAAGCAGGGGTGGATAGAAGAAGAGGAAGGGAGGTGGATGAGTGTAAGGAAACTGGTGTGACTCGCAAAGTCGCCTCAAGTGCACGAGGGGATTATTTTAGGCGAGTAAAAACCGGAGGCAAGAAGCTGAGCAGACTTACCCGCAGCAGCAGCAGCAGTGGAAGCATCAAGCTCGGGAGGAGGGGAGTAGAACTGAGTACACGTGGCAGCATCCAACTGGCCCTCGGCTGCTACCGGCACGTCTGATGGGGGGGAGGATGCAGAGGAGAAGCAGTTGAAGAAGTACCTGGGGGAGGGTGGAGGGGGTGGAAGAGAGGAGCGGAGGGAGGGAGGGGGAGAGAGGAAGGGGATGGAGGGGGAGAGAGGAAGGGGTGTAAGCTTGATTGGCAGGAGAGGTGGGTCGCTATGAGTGCAGAGCATGTGGGGGGGAGGATGCAGAGGAGAAGCAGTTGAACAAGTACCTGGGGAGCGGGGGGGGGGGAGGAAGGGTGGAGAAGGAGGTTGGGAGGGGTGAAGAGGGATTTGAAGGGAAGGAGAGGGGATTGCAAGGAGTGCAGAGCGCATGGGAAGGATGCAGAGGTGCAGCAGTTGAAGAAGTACCTGGGGGAGGAAAGGTGGGGAAAGAGAGCAGGGGAGGGAGCGGTTGAATTAGAGGTCAGGAGTGAGTGGAGAGGTTGGAGGGGGGAGGATGCAGAGGTGAAGCAGTTGAAGAAGTACCTGCGGGAGAGAGGTGGGGAGAGGAAGGGGGGTGGGGAGAAAGAGGAGGAAGGGGGGGGGTGATTGATTAGGTGGGGATTGGATGGTGGAGGGAGTAAAATGGGTGAGGGGTGAATAGAAGGGAGCTGGTGGGCAGGAGAGAGGGGTCGCACGGATTGCGGAGCAGGAGAAGGGAGGGGGGCGTATTGGTGAAGCAGTTGAAGTATGGCAGGAAGGCAGGGGAGGGGGGCCAAGTGGTTGGGATGTTAGTAATATATCAGGAGAGAGCAGAGCTGTTGTGGAGGATGCACCTGAGAGCAACTGAGGGTCACCTGCGAGCAACAGAGGATCACCTGAGAGCAACAGAGCGTCACCTGAGAGCAACAGAGCATCACCTGAGAGCAACAGAGCGTCACCTGAGAGCAACAGAGCGTCACCTGAAGTCAGCCTGGCGTTCAGGTGGAGGAAGCGGCACAGAGCCGTTGAAGAAATTGTTTGAGATGTCACTGTGATGTGATGGGGCGGGGGGGGGGGGGGGGGGGGGGGGGAGGACAAGGCGAAGGGGCGAGAGGAGGGAGTGGAGGGGAAACAGTGGCGTTCAGGTGGAGGGGAAACACTGGCGTTCAGGTGGAGGCAGCAGCACAGAGCCGTTGAACAAGGGGAGGGGTTTGAGACATCACTGTGATAAGGGGAGAGGGGGTAAGAGAGACGGGAGGGGAAGGGGTTGTGAAGTGAAGAGAAAGTACTTGTGAGATGGTTTTTGAGGCGCCTCAAAAGGGGAGGGGAAGGGGTTGTGGAGTAAAGTAAAAGAGAAATGACTTGTGAGACAGTTTATTTGAGAATTCTCAAGACCCATCTCAAAAGGCACAGAGAATTCTTTTGAGTCGAGTCAAAAGTAGTCTTGAGATCTCTAAAAAACCATCTCGAAAAAGCATGAAGACTTTGAAGAAGTTGCTTGAGATGTCACTGTGATGGGGGGGGGAGGGGGGAGAGGAGAGAGTTGGGGGATTGAGAGGAAAGCAGGGAACAGCATCTTCTGACGCATCTGAGAAGGCAAGCGGCCGTTGAGAAAACTGTGTTTTGAGTCGACTCAAAACTGACGCATCTGAGAAGGCAAGGGGACGTTGAGAAAACTGTGTTTTGAGTCGACTCAAAACTGGCGCATCTGAGAAAGGCAAGCGGCCGTTGAGAAAACTGTGTTTTGAGTCGACTCAAAACTGACGCATCTGAGAAGGCAAGGGGACGTTGAGAAAACTGTGTTTTGAGTCGACTCAAAACTGACGCATCTGAGAAGGCAAGCGGCCGTTGAGAAAACTGTGTTTTGAGTCGACTCAAAACTGGCGCATCTGAGAAGGCAAGGGGACGTTGAGAAAACTGTGTTTTGAGTCGACTCAAAACTGACGCATCTGAGAAGGCAAGGGGACGTTGAGAAAACTGTGTTTTGAGTCGACTCAAAACTGGCGCATCTGAGAAGGCAAGGGGACGTTGAGAAAACTGTGTTTTGAGCCGACTCAAAACTGACGCATCTGAGAAGGCAAGGGGACGTTGAGAAAACTGTGTTTTGATTCGACTCAAAACTGGCGCATCTGAGAAGGCAAGGGGACGTTGAGAAAACTGCTGGAGACTTGCTGTGACGGGGGGAATGGAGGAAGGAGAGAGGGGAGGAGATTGAGAGGAGAACAGGAAAAAGGGAAGAGGGAGAAGAGATGTAGTTGGAGATGTCGTGTGTTGAGAAAAAGAGAGGAAAGGAGAAGTGGGAACATTAAGTTATTCGAAATTATACTGTTATTGTGCGGAGCGAAGCAGAGGCAACTGGAAGCTGAGGCAGAGAGCAGAGGGAAGAGGGCAGAGGGAAGAGGGCAGAGGGAAGAGGGCAGAGGGAAGAGGGCAGAGGGACAAGGGCAGAGGGAAGAGGGCAGAGGGAAGAGGGCAGAGGGACGAGGGCAGAGGGACGAGGGCAGAGGGACGAGGGCAGAGGGAAGAGGGAAGAAGACCATAAAGCCTTGACACTTGAGAAGTTAGAACATGATAAAAACGCATCGCACAGCAGTGCACGGCATAAAACGGCATGTGCACGGGATGTGCACGGCATGAAACGGCATGTGCACAGCACGGCATGTGCATATCACGGCATGTGCATATCACGGCATGTGCATATCACGGCATGTGCATGTCACGGCATGTGCATATCACGGCATGTGCATATCACGGCATGTGCATATCACGGCATGTGCATATCACGGCATGTGCATATCACGGCATGTGCATATCACGGCATGTGCATATCACGGCATGTGCATATCACGGCATGTGCATATCACGGCATGTGCATGTCACGGCATGTGCACAGCACGGCATGTGCATATCACGGCATGTGCATATCACGGCATGTGCATATCACGGCATGTGCATATCACGGCATGTGCATATCACGGCATGTGCATATCACGGCATGTGCATGTCACGGCATGTGCATATCACGGCATGTGCATATCACGGCATGTGCATATCACGGCATGTGCATATCACGGCATGTGCATATCACGGCATGTGCATATCACGGCATGTGCATATCACGGCATGTGAAGGAACTCACACGTCGGTGAGGGAGGGGAAGCGCCAGAGGTCTGCAGGCAGCGAGCCGGACAGGCGGTTGGAATGCAGATAGCTGCGTGGCATGGGACGGGATGGGACGGGATGGGGGACACGAGGATGGGATGGGGGACACGAGGATGGGATGGGGGACACGAGGATGGGATGGGGGACACGAGGATGGGATGGGGGACACGAGGATGGGATGGGGGACACGAGGATGGGATGGGGGACACGAGGATGGGATGGGGGACACGAGGATGGGATGGGGGACACGAGGATGGGATGGGGGGCGCGGTAGCAGAAGCAGCAGGCAGTGCAGCAAGAGCAGCAGGGAGGGGCGCCAGAGGCAGCAGGGAGGGGCGCCAGAGGCAGCAGGGAGGGGCGCCAGAGGTCTGCAGCTGCAGGCAGCGGGCCGGAGCGGACAGGCGGTTGGAATGCAGATAGCTGTGTGTGTGGGGCACACACGCTCACTCACTCACTTGTGTTGGATGTTGGGGAGTTGTGTGAGTAAGGCCGGGAAGGGCCCCGAGGCAGGCAGCAGAAAGTCCCCACCACTCTCAACCACTTTCCCCTCCCCACCACTCTCAACCACTTTCCCCTCCCCACCACTCTCAACCACTTTCCCCTCCCCACCACTCTCAACCACTTTCCCCTCCCCACCACTCTCAACCACTTTCCCCTCCCCACCACTCTCAACCACTTTCCCCTCCCCACCACTCTCAACCACTTTCCCCTCCCCACCACTCTCAACCACTTTCCCCTCCCCACCATTACCCGCGCGCGCTCACATGTGCTGGACTGGATGTTTGAGTTGCGAGAGGAAGGCCGGGAAGCTGCCTGTGGCAGCAGCAGCGGAGAATCTTGAGGCTTGAGAATTTCCAACCACTTCGTACCCACTCCCCCCACCACTCCCCACCACTCCTCACCCACTCCTAGCGCTCGGATGTTGGGGAGTTGCGTGAGGCAGCAGCGGAGTACTTTCAAGGCTCAAAAGTCCCTACTCACTCCCCACCCACTCCTCGCCACTCCCCAGCACTCCCCAGCACTCCCCAGTATACATGGGCAAATGGCGAGTCGAGTTTTACTTGACTCGTTTTGACGAGTTTTTTCCCTTTGACGAGTCGAGTCGAGTTTTACTCGTCGAGTTTTTTTGGTCAAAATGCTGACTCGAAACTCGGCCCCAAAGTCGAGTTTTTTGAAAACTCGGATGAGCCTTAAAAAAACTCGTCCGAGTCAAGTAAAACTCGACTCGAAGTTAAACACTACCCTAACCTAAAACCCCAGCCACACGAAAACAGTTGTAGGGTGCCCAGAAAACTGCCACACGCGTCAACACCCACAAACGACCCAGCCAGCCCCACCTCTCCTCCCCCCTTTCACTTTCCAAAAAAGCTACTCACCGCCACGCCAGCTGCACTAGTGTTCACAATTAAGTGGTGGAACACATCCAAAACAGCGAGCCACACCTCCAGCAGCATATTAACCCAGAAACAGACATTTGTACCCCCCTGTGGTGGACCATTTGATGCACGAGTTTTTTAAAACTCGTCTAGGTTAAACAAAACTCGTGAGTGAAAAAAAACTCGCGAGTTATGGGTAACTCGCCTGTCTAGCCGAGTTTTTCACGAGTTTTTTTAAACTCGCGAGTAAAAATTGACTCGTTTTCACGAGCTTTTTTTACCAAAATCAGAACTCGAAACTTGTTATTTTCGAGTACTTCAAACGAGTCTAGTAAAAACTCGACTCGTTTGCACATGTATACTCCCCAGCACTCCCCAGCTCTCCAACTCACATGCGTTGGATGCTGGGGAGTTGCGTGAGGAAGGCGGGGAAGGGGCCCGAGGCAGCAGCGGAGGAGAAGGAGAAGAAGGAGAGCGATGCGAGGGCTGCCCACGAGGGGGGGAAGTCGGCTGTCACAGGCAGACGGTAGAGGGAACTGGAGGGGAAGGGGGAAGCGGGGGAGAGGTGTTGGAATACGGAGGGAGAGGGATGGAGAAGAAGGGAAGGCGGCGGTCAAATGTAGGGGGTACAGACAGCCTACAGGGAGCTGGGGGAAGGGGGGAGGGACGTGTGATCAAACATTCCAGCGAGCTGCAGTTTCTAAGGAGAAGGTTTAGCAAAGGAGAAACTGCAGCTCGCTGGAATGTCTGATCACACCAAGGCGGCGGTCAAATGTAGGGGGTACAGACAGACAGCCTACAGGGAGCTGGGGGGAGGGGGGAGGGACGAGGAACATGCGTTTGAATGGGGGGGAACGGGCCCGAGGCAGCAGCGGAGGAGAAGGAGACGAAGGAGAGCGAGCGAGGGCGGACCTCGAAGGGGGAAAGCTGGTCGTCTCAGTCACGTGACGACTCAAAACTCACAAAACTCATCAGCTCCTGATTCCCGGCACTTACAGCACTTGAAGGTTAGTGAGTTGGCTCCAGGCATCAGGAGGCTGGCCCTGAAATTTACATTTTGAGACTTCTTTGAAATTTAAATACTCAATAGTCAGTGTAGTGGTCCTTACAGCACTTGAAGGTTGGTGAGTTGGCTCCAGGAATCAGGAGGCTGGCCCTGAAAGTGGTTGTCGCCCAGGTCGCTGGTGAGGAGGGAGAGGGAGCGTGGAGGAATGATGGGTGAGTGCGAGTGACGAAGAGAGTGTGTGAGTGAGTGAGTGAGTGAGTGAGTGTGGAGAAAGAAAGACAGGTTGAGATGCAGAACACCATGCAGGTGAACTCCTGTCAATGAAAGTCAATACACATGCATGCAGGTCAACCAAAGTCAACCCAAAAGAACCCAAGTCAACCCACAGGGTCACAAGGTCGGTGAGCGCGCCAAGTTCCTCGGGCAGCTGGCCAACAATTTCGTTCTGCCCGAGAACGAGTGCGGAGAGGCGAGAGAGAGCCGAGAGGCCCGCGGGGAGCGACCCCGTGATGTGATTCATGTCCAGATGGCTGCAGAGGGAGGGGAGAGAGAGCGAGAGAGAGAGAGAGAGAGAGAGAGAGAGAGAGAGAGAGAGAGAGAGAGAGAGAGAGAGAGAGAGAGAGAGAGAGATGGCATAGCTCAGTCCTTAGCCATTTCTAGGCCTCTCTTCCCTGGGATCTAGTCCTTAGCCATTTCTAGGCCTGTTTCCTTAGTATAAAGGCCCTGGATCTAGGCTGGTGAGCTCATTATTCACTGGTGAGTTAGGATCACTCTCCAAATCCGGCGGCTCGTTCGAGAGAGAGCGAGAGAGAGAGAGAGAGAGAGAGAGATGGCATAGCTCAGTCCTTAGCCATTTCTAGGCCTCTCTTCCCTGGGATCTAGTCCTTAGCCATTTCTAGGCCTGTTTCCTTAGTATAAAGGCCCTGGATCTAGGCTGGTGAGCTCATTATTCACTGGTGAGTTAGGATCACTCTCCAAATCCGGCGGCTTGTTCGAGAGAGAGCGAGAGAGAGAGAGAGAGAGATGGCATAGCTCAGTCCTTAGCCATTTCTAGGCCTCTCTTCCCTGGGATCTAGTCCTTAGCCATTTCTAGGCCTGTTTCCTTAGTATAAAGGCCCTGGATCTAGGCTGGTGAGCTCATTATTCACTGGTGAGCTCATTATTCACTGGTGAGTTAGGATCACTCTCCAAATCCGGCGGCTCGCGCCGGCCGCCTTCGGCGACCGCCGCTCGCCAGCGCGGCCTTCGGCCGCGCGTGAGGTGTGACAAGGACCAGAGGGGACAAGTCTATAATTATGAAAGGCTACAACATGCGCAAGTGACAACACACAACAAGAGCAACACCCCCAGACGAGGAGATACCGCCATGGGGAAGCCCAGGGCCAGGCCTGCAACCAAGCAGGCAGGCACAGGGAGGAAGGCCGCTACTCGGCCAGGATCTAACTCAACCGGCCGTCCATCCAGCGTAGCACGGATGCGGCAGCCGGTACCACGTCCCGTGGGTCCTTCAGGGCGGCAAGAACAAGCCGCCTCAGCGCAGCAGGACCAGGTCCCAAGGCGGCGCCAGGGGAGTCCGGGACCAGCCCAATCAAAGGCAGCATCTCCAGCATCTGCATCGTCGCTGCCACACCCTCCTCCTGCTCAGTTGCCGACAACACCGGAGGCACCTCCCCAGGACGTATCTGCCGCAGCTGGAAAAGGTGCAGCTGGTCGAGGACCATTGCCAACAACGTCAGGCATGTCCCCACGTGCCCAACGCGCTCAGCGACGCGGTGGGCCCTGCCCCGCGGCGGGGAGCCCGGCGGCGAAATCCCCTCCGGAGACAGTGGGGGGGAGGGATCAGGACCGACAGGCGGAGGAGGAGACGTTGGCAGAGTTGACGGCGGGGGCGACTGCACACCTGGAGCCTCCTCTGCCCTCAGATACCCCATCACCTCCCACGGGATTGGGATCAGCCTCCCGCCAAGACACAGCTGCGGGCACTCCAACGGCGCCGGTGAGGGTACGGCCGACGAGGAGGGCTGAGGTACAGGAGACGCCGAGGGACGAGGCGGCGGCGGTTGCGGTGGAAAGGGGAAGCGTCGCAGCGGCGACGGCGTCGGTGGAGGTGGTGGGTGAGGTGGCTGCTGCCGCGGAGGTGCCAGCGGAGGCTGTGACGGCATTGGGGCGGGCGGGCGGAACTGCCGCCGCTTTTGGCGGCGACTCAACTTCACTTTCTGCCAACCACCAGGGGGCACAACCGCAGACACTGGAGCTGGGTCCGGCGGTGGATCTGGAACCGTCGGAGGCGGTGGCGTTGTCTGCGTCACCGGCGCCGGTACCGGCGGCGGTCTTGGCTGCGGCGATGACTGCTGCGACCGCGGCAGGGAACCAGGCCGACGCCCCGGTCGAGGGGGAGGTACCGGTGGCCGCTGTGAGCGCCGGAACATCTGCTGCTGCCGAGGGCGCAGACACGCAGGAGCGCGACCAGGCGGCGAGCGGAAGACGGGGTCACGGGACCGTCGCCCCTGTACGCGCCGCTCGCGGGAAGGGCGGGAGGAGGCTCCGTGCCCAGCCAGCGCCGAGGCGGCCCGGAGCAGGGCTGGGGCCTGGCGCCCCGGGACCCCTCCGGGGCTGGAGTGAGCAAGAGCAGTCGCCACTAACACCAGAGCGTCAACCTCCATCTGTGGGACAAGAAAGAGAGGAAGGCGACGAGGAAGCTGACGTCAGGCACGTGGCAGGACACATCAGCCCGGAGGCAGGGACTACCCGAGGCCCACAGCGGGAAACACGGAGCTCCACCCGCCCACAAGGGATTACCTGGGGCCGTCCGAGGCTGGGACTAGCGAGACAGACACACTCACCGTGGATCCCGGCGGGAAGAGCACCACATGCCGGACGAGGGGGGCGAAACGACGAGAGCAGGACCGGGGAGGGAGCACCGATCCGTGGGGCCCAAGGCGGAGGACGCGGGGCAAGAGGTGGAAGAAGGGGCGGGGGCGCAATCGTCGGCGGAAGAGAGGCACTTGTGAGATCGGGAACGTGGCGGGAACGCCACGACCGCCCGGAGCAGGAGGCACCACCGACGAATCAGGAGGAGAGGGACATGGGGAATGGGGAGGATGGGGGGGATTATGTAGCCGAGACCCCCGAAACCTCAGAAGAGATCTCGCTGGAGGCGGAGAGAGACACTACAGGAAGAGAGAGGGGACGGAGAGCAATTGGGAGACACCCCCAGGACAGAAACCTTGGTGCGAGAAACCCCCAGGACAGAAACCCTGGTGCGAGAAACCCCCAGGAGGGAAACCACCACGAACGGGGAGAGATCGGAGCAGTGACGAGTGGGAGCCAGAGAGAAACCGGGCAACCTACCGTACAGTCACCGGCGGAGCTGGTGGCGAACGAGGCCATCTGGCAGCAGGCGGCCACGTGGGAAGTTGCCCCACTTCAGCGAGGGGACCAACCTTTCTTGGTTCGGAGGATGCCCCCCAAAATTTTGGAAAGCTACACCCTCTGCGTGCTGGCACCACTCCTACGCCTGCAGAAAAACCCCGACTGTCCAGGTGCATGGGTGATCCTGCAATTCTTACCGAGGCTGACCTTGCGGCCCCTTCCCGAACCGGTTCAAGGAAGCCGGTGGGTTGGAATTGAGGGAAGACTACACCGGTTCCAGCAAGGCAGCTGGGCAGAACTCTTCGAGGAGGCGAAGGTCATCCCCGATACGGAGAACCCGTCACGCCACCAAGCCGATGACGCTGGACTCTGTGCTAGGGCGGAAGGACTTATGAAGAAGGGTAACATCTCGAAGGCAGTTGCAGCGTTATGCGCAACCCCACTCGCCGAAACCACACCAGCGACACTCGCTGCACTGCGGGCGAAACACCCCGATGCTGCATCGCCCCCGGCAAGGTTCGTTTCCGGCTACACTCATTCGGAGCTGCGGGTAACACCAGATGACCTTCGTGAACTACTCAAGCGATGCCCGAACGGAGTGGGAGCAGGCCCATCAGGTACTTGCTTCGAACACCTCAAAGACCCTGCGCTCGCGAGTGAGGAGGTGCTCATACTCCTCGCGCAGATTATCAGCTACCTCCTTAGCACCTTCCAGAGCCAGGCGGTTCGCGACTTGCTTCTGCCCTCAAGACTCATCGCTCTAGAAAAACCGGGAGGAGGCGTGAGGCCCATCGCGATAGGAGAAGCAATACTCCGCGTAGTGGCAAAGGCGGCTTTGAGGGAATTAGCGCAGACCATTCGCGAGTACTTTCTCCCCGTTCAGTTTGGGGTGGCAGTCACTGGCGGCGCAGAGTGCATCGTCCACTCAGTCCGATCGCTGCTTCAGGAGGACGAGAGCCGAGTAGCGCTACAGCTCGATATTGAGAACGCCTTCAACAGTGTCGAACGGCCGGCATTCTTTCAGGCGCTCTCACAATCGAGCCTGTTATCACTCCTACCCCTCGTACGCACGCTTTACGACGGCCCGTCTCGGCTCTTAGTGGACCACAAGCTCGGCGTCGATCAGATCATGAGCAACCGAGGAGTCCGCCAGGGTGACCCGCTCGGTCCGCTCCTCTTCGCAACGGCGATCCAACCGACGCTTCTGAGCACGGCGACGCTCCTCCCCGAGGTGGCGATTGTCGCCTACGCCGACGACATCACCATTGTGGGCCCTCGGGACGCGGCCTATGAGGCCTTTGGGACCATCACAAGGGAGCTCCGATCGGTTGGCCTCCGCTGCAACATCGCCAAGTCCTCGGGGTGGGGACCGGATGCGGAAGGAGGGAATGAGATACCACCACCGCAGGGCCTGGCCATGAACACCAACGGCATCGGAGTTTTGGGAAGCCCGATTGGCACGGCCGACTTCTGCACCGATAAGGCACAGACAAGCCTTACAGAAGCCGCCGCACCGCTGCCCCTGATTGCTCAGCTGCACCCACAGCACGCTATGCTAATACTCTCGCGGAGCATTTCCCGCAGGATATCGTACCTGCTGCGGACCACCCCGGCTACAGTGCTGGAGAAGGAGGAGTGGAGGTCTTGGAGTGAGACTCTGATGGCGACAGCTCTGGCGGCAGCAAAGCTACGGGTCCCAGCGAGTGAGCTGGAACAGAGCCTGTTGTGGCGGCAAGGAACCCTACCCGTCAGGTTGGGGGGGCTAGGCATCATTGACCCTGCCTCGGAGGCACCGGCAGCCTACATAGCGTCAGTAACGGCGGCCCACACCCTACTGCGGCAGATGAACCTGCCAGAGGCGTACCTGCTGAAGAGGGCGGTCACGCGGCTCGACCATGCGTGGAGCCCGGCCCCACCTGAGGTCAACCAGCTAGCCCCACTGGAGGCAGCACTCCCGGCGTCAGCACGCTCCACACTACAGGCGTTCAGGGAGCAGCCAGCAGGACAGGGCAACCTTCAGCTACTACTCTCCCGCTACATCTATGAGAGACGGGCAGCGGAACTACTGGCTGACACGATCAAAGACCGCCCAGGCGCACACCGCGGGCACGCCATCCGCCTCATCAGCCTACAGGGGGCGGGGGCAGGGGACTGGCTGCATGCCGTGCCTACGAGAGCTGACCTTACATTTGCCCCTGGTCAGTTCTCCTTGGCGCTGGGGTTCCGCTTAGGCATGTCCTTGCCGGTCACTGAGAAGTGTCCCTGCAAGAGAGAATATTCTGACATCAACGACCCGAGTCTGCCGAACCATCTCCTTAGGTGCGGGTACGGGGGCGACGTCGTTAGAACGCACAACGCGCTAGTGTTTGCAGCACTCAGGATGGCAAGGGAAGCGGACTTCACGTGCTTCCACGAGACATCGGCTTTTTCCCCACCGATCCTCAGGAAGAGGGGAGATCTGGCGATTCGAGACAGGGAATCAAACGAGACCTGGGTTACAGACGTGACAGTGACTGACCCTGTGCTCCAGCTGCGCGACACCAGGGCACGGAAGCCACCAGGATGGGCGGCTGAGGAGGCCTCGGCTAGGAAGCACAGGGAATACGAGGACCGGCCAGACTACGTCGGCTTCTTTGGCCTCGCAGTTGAGACGTATGGGGCCCTGTCCTCGGACACACAGGAGTTCCTACGGCTACTGGCCACCGCAGCGGCTAAGAAGAAGTACCGCCAGGGGAAGTTGACAACGACGACTGCACGACTCACTGCACACTACCGGCAGCGCTGGTCTGTGATGCTGCAGCGATCCCAGGCAACGTCCTACCTGAACAAGTCAAACCTATCTGATGAAGCAGCGTTCCCCCAGGCTGCTAGGGACCCTGGGGAACCTAGCCTGGGGGACCTCTGGCAAGTGCTGGAGGATGAGCTGGAGGTTGTTATGGCTCAGTAGGCGGGAGTAGGTGTGGGCCAGTGATGTAGCCATGGCTTGTCGGCTGCACGTCTGGCCTGAATGACCAACTTGCCTCGACTGCTGGCCGTGCTTGGCCTTGCCCTGCAGTGCCTTGCTTTGCTGGTTTGCTGGTTGCTTTGTCGGCCTGGCTTGCCTCACTTGACCGGCCTGTCTGTGTGCGGATGTCCTGCTCGTATCACGCTCCTGCCATGCATGATGAGTAGCCCCAAATGCCTAGGCCTGCCTAGCTCTATTCCTGCCATGCCTGTACCCCTATGAACCTATCAATGAAGGACTGCTTGAGAGAGAGAGAGAGAGAGAGAGAGAGAGAGAGAGAGAGAGAGAGAGAGAGAGAGAGAGAGAGAGAGAGAGAAGTGGCAGGCATTGCGGGAAGATAAAAGGGTGCAAGAGGGGTTCAGGTGAAGCGAGAGAGCAGAGAGGCCCGACGGGAGCGACCCAGTGATGCGGCTCATGTCCAGATGGCTGCAAAGGTGGGTGGCGCCAGGGGAAGGTTGCGAGCAGAGAGGAGAGGCAAGCAGAGACACCATTCGTTTGCTGCATAAACAGGCAAACGAGCAAAATGGTGAGAAAAGCAGAGACACCATCACACTGAGTTAAACAAAACTAGCAAACGAATCAACAAGTAAGCAGGTGGTCTGGGCACTTTCAAAAACTCTCTAATACACACAGAAAGCAGGCGACTGGCTCACAAGAGACAGTCTGCGTAGTGTGGGCACTCACAGGGACCCCTCACTCTCTGCACTCACAGGGACCCCTCACTCTCTGCACTCACAGGGACCCCTCACTCTCTGCACTCACAGGGACGACCCCTCACTCTCTGCACTCACAGGGACCCCTCACTCTCTGCACTCACAGGGACCCCTCACTCTCTGCACTCACAAGGACCCCTCACTCTCTGCACTCACAGGGACCCCTCACTCTCTGCACTCACAGGGACCCCTCACTCTCTGCACTCACAGGGACCCCTCACTCTCTGCACTCACAGGGACCCCTCACTCTCTGCACTCACAGGGACCCCTCACTCTCTGCACTCACAGGGACCCCTCACTCTCTGCACTCACAGGGACCCCTCACTCTCTGCACTCACAGGGACCCCTCACTCTCTGCACTCACAGAGACTCAACACTCACAGGGTCTCGAGAGCAGTCATGGCTGTGACATCTGCAGGCAGTGAGTCGATGCGGTTGAACGTCAGGTTGCTGCACATGTGTGCGGTTGTGAAACCAAGGGGGGGAGGAGAGAAGAAACGGGGGATTGACAGTGGGATTGGTGTACTGTGCAGCAGACAGAGTCGGAAAAATAGGGGGTGACTTTTGAGTCGACTTAAAAGTCACCTCGACTCAAAAGAATCGGGGGATTGACCGTGCGATTGGTGTACTGTGCACACAGAATCGGGGAAGTAGGGGCGGGCGCAAGATGGGGACGGAGGGGCTGCGGTAGGGGGTTGCAATGGAAGGGGAAGGATATGAGACACCGACCGAGGAAAGGGAGAAGTGCACTAGAAGCATGGCAGCAGCTTAAACCAAGCCTTACAGGTGATTGTTCACACCAAGCCTTACAGGTGTTTGGGGTTGGGAAGCAGGGCAGCAGCAGGAGAGACAGCAGCACCAGCCACCTCAACCCGCTGCACCCGCTGCAGCGACGTCATTTCCCCCCCACGCGATCTCCCCCTTCAGCAGCCCCTAGAATAAGCCAACATGACAGGTGTTCAAGTCGAGTCTTACAGGTTGGAAAGCAGCGCAGTTGCATGAGAGACAGCAGCACCGGCCACCTCATTGCCACTCAAGTCAACCCGCCCCAGCCGCTGCAGCGCCGTCAACCTCTTTCCCCCCTTCCCCTCCCTAATACAAGCCAAGAGTCCAAGTCTTACAGGTGCTTGAGGTTGGGAAGCAGGGCAGCAGCAGCAGTGACAGCAGCACCGGCCACCTCATTGCCACTCAAGTCAACCCGCTCCAGCCGCTGCAGCGCCGTCATCCCCCCCCCACGTAATCTCCCCCTTCAGCAGCCCCTAGAATAAGCCAAAATTGCAGGTGTTCAAGTCGAGTCGAGTCTTACAGGTGTTTGAGGTTGGGAAGCAGGGCAGTAGCAGCAGTGACAGCAGCACCGGACACCTCATTGCCACTCAAGTCAACCCGCTCCAATCGCTGCAGCGCCGTCATTTTCCCCCACGGGATCTCCCCCCTCAGCGGTCCCACCGCCCCTGCTGCTACAGCCGCCGCTACAGCCTGCTGGCTGGCGCCCCGGGCGGTCAGCTGCTGCGCTACAGCCGCTGGAGTGGCACCTCTGGCCCATGACGCGTTGAGGGACGCCAGGAAGGGGTTGCTCATGTCGCTGGTGGGAGGAGGGCGGGGGCGAAGCAAGAGAGGGGGCGAGGAGGGGAGAGGAGAACAAGGAAAGAGGGATTGAGGTGAGAGATGTCATCTGCTGCGCTACAGCCGCCGCTGTGGCTCTTCTGGCCCGTGACGCGTTGAGGGATGCCAAGAGAGGGCTGCTCATGTCGCTGGAGGGGAGGCGGGGAAAGGGATGAGGAGAGAAGGGGGGGAAGACAGACAGAGCCATCCATGGTATGTGACCGACCGACCCCCATGCCCCATGATTGGCTAAGCGAGGCCACCACAGGGGTTTGCTCATATGAGGGAGGAAGGCTGCTAAGGCTGCTCCTCCCACCTCACCCCACTTGACTGCACAGTCAGTTAAGTCACCCCAACACAGCACCCAACCACTTCACCCCACTTGACTGCACGGTCAGTAGTCACCCCAACACAGCACCCAACCACTTCACCCCACTTGACTGCACGGTCAGTAGTCACCCCAACACAGCACCCAACCACTTCACCCCACTTGACTGCACGGTCAGTAGTCACCCCAACACAGCACCCAACCACTTCACCCCACTTGACTGCACGGTCAGTAGTCACCCCAACACAGCACCCAACCACTTCACCCCACTTGACTGCACGGTCAGTAGTCACCCCAACACAGCACCCAACCACTTCACCCCACTTGACTGCACGGTCAGTAGTCACCCCAACACAGCACCCAACCACTTCACCCCACTTCACTGCACAATAACCGCAGCTCACTGCACGGCACCACTCACATGGCAATGACGCGGCCTGAGGAGTCGCAGGTCACAAACTGCCACGTGTCAGCGCAGGGCTGCGACAGCTGGCCCTGGCGATTGGACGAGGGGCCGTCAGACCACCTCCCCGCCAGCGAGAACGCGGGGTGATCCCCCAGAGCCTGCTTCAGCGCCAGCAGCGCGCTGGCTGGGGGGAGGAGGGAGGGGGGGGGGGGGGGGGGGGAGGGGAGGGGGAGGGGAAGGGGGTGGGGGAGGGGGAGGGGGAGAGGGGGGGGAGGGGGAGGGCGAGGGGGAGGGTGGGGGGAGGGGGAGGGGGAGGGGTAGAGGGAGGAGAGGGGGGAAGGGGAGGGGGAGGGGAGGGGGAGGGGGAGTGGGAGGGGGAGAGGGAGTGGGAGGGGGAGAGGGAGGGGGGTTGGGAGGCTGAGGCGGAAGAGGAGGGGAAGGCGGTCACCACACGACCGTACTCTCTCCTCCACATCCCTTGCCTCCTTCATCAGACTCTCGCGTCCTGAGTGATCTTTGAGAATTTTCAAAAATCGCTCACAAGGGATGGGGAAGAGGTCAGCTCGAGCCCTTGCCTCTCACCTCCACATTCCCTCGCCTCCTTTACTGAATCTCGCCTCCTTTACTGAATCTCGCCTCCTTTACTGAATCTCGCCTCCTTTACTGAATCTCGCCTCCTTTACTGAATCTCGCCTCCTCGGCTCTATCTGAATCTCGGAAAGTTTCAAATCGTGCCTCGTCATCCCTCTCCTCCACCACTCACTCTCGGCCGAAGCGATTTCGTCCGACGCGGGCGGCTCCTGAAGAACGCGGCGAGCCGAACCGCCACTTGCGGCGGAGACGACGCAAGACGGCGACAGCAACGTCGCGAGGAGCAGGAGGGCACAGAACGGAACAAGGCAGGCCGGTAACGGCGAGCGTGACGACATGGATGACGTCATTGCGATATTAGCAGGGACAGCCACGTGGCCGGCCACGTGGACGAAGCAGTGAGCGCTGCTAGAGATTGTGAGACAACGGCTACAACGGCCCGAGCCCTAGACCACTGGCCGAACCGAGAGGTTATTCAACGGCGGTTTGGGATACCGGCTACGCGGTAGACGCGGGGGACGGTTGCTACTGGCTACGCGAGTGGAAACGGGAAATTTGGTACCGGCTACGCGACAAGAAACAAGAGATTCGGTACTGGCTACGCAACGAGAAATTCGCCAACGCTTACGCGACTGGAACAAGAAATTCGCTAACGTCTGGCCGAATGGAATGGGAAAATCGCAAACGTGTACGCGATTGCAACGGGTGTTCGCTAGCGCCTGAGCTTAAAACGGGACTATGGGGTGTCGGCTATGGTGGAAAAGAAACGAGGACAAGAAAGACGGTCTCAGGTATCAAGACTGTCACGGAACCCGTCAATGCTTTCGCAAACTGCTGCTGGTGCACACGGCACAGACAGCACGGCAATCCGGGACTTGTGAAGGGACAGAGCGGAGAGGCAGCCATGAATCTGGCAGTTTGCGTGGTAGTTATCGGTGCGAGGGATGTTTCTCGTGGCGAGTTGGCGCTGGAGTAACGTAACGACATGGCAGTTTGGGAAACGACAATCGTCAGCCACAGTTGACTCGAGGTTGGCGAACCGTTGATGGAGGTAGTTGACGAAAGATAGAGGTTGCTGGTTGACGAAATGTCGTCGCATGTACTTAGTTGGCGAAAGGTTGAGGACTGTTGTTGGCGAACGATTGAGTCATAGCGCAACCATGAGGCGTGCGGCGAACGCGAAAATGATGGGGTGGAGCAATTGAGGGCTGCCTGCATCAGTTGATGGTGCTGGCGAAAACTCGCTAAACGGAAATGTGAGGATTCTCATTGGTCGCGTGTTATGCCATCAGTAGTTATTCTTGTATGTTACTAGTGCAATTGAGCGAGCGAGAAATGCACTATCGAAGCAAAACAATACATTGAGCGAAGACATGAGTGAAGAATATATAGTGAAGCTAGCGTGGTAACGGTATTGCGAGAATTTGAGGTGCGTCGAGGTTGGGAAATGTCGAGGCGGAGGACCGGAGCACAGGTTACCAACCGAATCGCGAGGTTGGGTCGCGATGTGTACAGTGGTGGGTGTTGGAAACAATCGATCTTAAGCGCCTCTGTCGCGTCGAAAACACTAAGGCACAAACAAAGCGAAGCATATCGAAGCACTGGCGAGTCAACCCTCGGAGGTTGAAAGTAACTGTTGGAGGTTACGCGAAAGTCAAAGGTCAGCAACCTTTGACCTGACAAAGTACAGCGCGACAGCAAGGACACACAACTGACTCGCTACAGAGCAGTTGCCCGAGTCGTCACTGTATCGAACCGCAACAGCAAACAGTTATAACTGTACCCCTTCATATTCCTTGTACTCTTATATAATCTTGTATCTCTCTGATTTAATCAATCTACTTTGCCCTCACATACTAGCGCAAGGTGGTTCAACTACTTCATTAAAGCTTCCGCTATTACATCAGTCCTACCCAGAGTTCACCCCTGCAAAGATCCTAAGGGCCTCCTTTTTCAGCCCAACATGGTATGAGAGCAGTCAGGGAGAATTCAACTTCTATTAAGATACCGACAACATCAACAGGCATGGCTACACAAAAGGAAAGGAGCTCCTCCAACGGCTCCCAGGGCACTACTCCTACTCCACCTCCTGCCTCTGGCCTACAGACAGAGGAGGGTACGGCAACAAGACCCAGGGCAACATCCACCGAGACTCCTGCGAATCAACCTGCAGACTTCGACCAGAGCATGATGGAGAAATTCTTCTCCTTCATGTCCTTCTACGAGCAACACCAGCAATCGGCACCTGCGCAGTCACACAATAGCAATAACAACGGAGCAACTCCCATGAGTCTCGACGGCTCATCATACGCACGAGGAAATCAACAGCAGCAGCCTACCTTTGCTCCGTACGAGCGCGGGTCCATCAGCTTTATGCCACACTCGCAGCCTTCACCTGGACAGGAAAAGTCACTGGACGCATTACAAGTTCAGTCGCAGTTCGCGCACGTTCTGAAGATGCAGACGTCAAGACATTTCGATGGAAAGGATTTCTTCACCTGGTCGTTTGAATTCGAGTTAATGATGGAAGGCGCACAGATACTTGGCTTCTTCGACGGGTCCCTGCCATACCCAACGAACGGCACACAGTATGAGAAGCAGCAGTACACCTATCAGTCGATGATGGCGTACACGATTCTACTGAGAAACATCACCCCGACCCAACAGCAGAATATACGGTCTTACCGGGGTTACGGCAACTCCGCGGAGCTCGCATACAACCACTTGAAGAGCCTGTATCAAGCAACAGACAGCGTAAATCAAAGTCGGTTAATGGCGCAACTGACAACGGTCGAAATGAAACCAGGCGAAAAAGGAATGGCGTATATCAGCCGATGTCGCGAGTTGCGCGACAAGCTTCTTCGATGCGGAGGGTCGATTTCTGAAGACGCCTTCGTGACAGTTATCATTGGCGGCCTCGGTCCTCAATGGCGCGCCACAAAGGCCATTCTCCGAGCCCACGGAAGAATCTCCGAAGCAGCACTCTGCGCCGAAATCCATACCGAGCAACAAGACATGGACCTGCAAGAAGAACGACACAAGAAGAAGACATCAGCACCGGAATTTGCATTCCACACTTAGCGACGCTACAACAACAACAAACAACAACAACCGAAGCCCGTACCTCCGTTCTGCCACATCTGCAAGACGTCAGGGCACCCGCGCACGCACTGCCCGAATCGACAACAGTCAACGCCTTCACAGCGGCAGCTTCGACCTTCAAGCTATCAAGTCGCCTCAACACAAGCAAATCCTACGACCCAGATTAAAGCCTCAACGACCTCTACAGGACAACCTGCACAAGGAGCAAGGAACATCGTCAGTTGCATGGCAAAACTGAGCGACTCTTGCATCACGGGATCACCACCGTACTACTCACCGGAAGAACAACTCGACGACACCACACCTCACCGCGATTCACTCCAGCCGAATCCGACATACGCAGCCATCGCCCAAAGCGAGCCATCCGGAAAGGACACGTGGTTCTTGGACAGTTGCTGCGGACAACACATGTGTTCTTCAGGACGCTTCGTGCAACGAGAGTACCAACTCCAACGTGAAGTAGTCATCACCGTCGCCAACAACGAAAGCCTGCGCACACGACGACAAAGAATCGTTCAACTTCAGTCACGAGAAACAAACGTCATACTACAAATGTCCAAGGTCTTAATCGCAGAAGGCCTCGGCTACAACTTACTCAGCGTTAGCCAACTGATGGCTAAAGGTATCCACCTTGAAGCAGACAGCACCACTCAGGAGTTCAAGCTGTACCACGGGAAGGGCGGCCTCTACATCGGAAAAGCGATCCTGAAAAATAACGTCTTCGTTCTTGATTTTGTTCCAGATCTCGGCACAGCAGACAGCGACGGCATCGTCACCTTCACTTCCTGGACCCATCCTCCAGACCTTGATCCAGACTTCAGCCCCGGCGGCTTCTGGTATTCACACACCATCCCTGAGGCAGAAACAACAAGGGCGTTAGCAACAATTCAAACAACATCGGCAGCAGCAGAGACAACATCGGCAGCAGCAGAAACACCATCGGCAGCAGCAGAGACATCAACGGCAGCAGCAGGAACGTCAACGCCAGTCGCTGGTCCTTCAACGGCACCACTCCTCGTCGACGACACACCACCGACACCCGCGCAACAACTACACCCAGCACCACGAGAAGTTCATCGAAGCGCCAACTTCACCGCCAGCTTCTATTCCAACTCCGATATGTATCGGCGCTCACCCGGACACCGAAAGAACCTGGCACGCAAGAATGGGACATCCAAGCAACACGGTGTTAAACAACACGATAAGAGCAGGCGTGCTCGATAAAGACTCTCTACTCCTAACTGACGGCAGAGAACTTTAGCGAGCTCGAGGAACATGTTTCACCTGTCCCGAAGCTGACTTACCGCATCAACCGTTCGCGTCTCACCACAACCCAAGCGCACCAGCTTACGCGCCACTCGAGAAGGTGTACAGCGACATCTTGTACAACCGCGAGCCTGGACAAAACGCGTACAACTACACCATCACCTTCATCGACGCCGCCACACGATATGTCTGGCATCTAAACCTCCCGAGCAAAGACATGGCCTTCGAAGCCTTCGTCGCGTGGCTCCCAGTAGCAGAGCGAGAGTCGGGCGTCAAACTGAAGAGCTTCCAGTCAGATGGGGGAGGAGAATACACCTCACAGAGGTTCAAGCAGTACTTGGCTGAAAGGGGAATCAAGCGGCTCATCTCCCTTCCCTACGCCCATCAACAGCAAGGTGTAGCAGAAAGGATGAACAGGACCCTCCAGAACACCATGCGCAAGCTGCTACGTGGCATGCACCTGCCCAACCACCAGTGGCCCGAAGCAATGGACCACGCCGTCATGCTGCACAACTTGCTCTCATCATCATCGCTCCCGAACAACGCATCACCGCACCTGCTGTGGACAGGAAAACTGAGCAGCACAAAAATGTTAAGGGTCTTCGGCTGCATGGTACAGTACCGGCCTCCATCTGCACGAGCTGGCCGATTCTCACAACGCGCACAGTGGGGACTACACCTGGGCATCGAAAAACACTACAACGCATGGAAGATTTTCGACGTCGAGACAAAGGAAACAGTAGCAGCACGTGATGTCATCTTCTACGAAAACTTCACCCTCCGGTATTACCTTGCCAACTTGCAAGAAGGAAACCCCGATCGCTCCGATGGTTTTCAAGGCACCCGAGCCTTCGCCTCGGCAGATGACGAAGCTGACTGGGACGAGCAGAACGTGGAAGGAGCCTCGGAAGAAGCCGGACCCCTCCCCTACTGCTCCGTCGACGTGCCAATGGACGACGAAAACCCACGCGAAAGCATCAAC